GAGTATGTTTGAGAGTGTGACAGCGTGTAACCTGTATGAGTATGTTTGAGTGTGTGACAGCGTGTAACCTGTATGAGTATGTTTTTGAGTGTGACAGCGTGTAACCTGTATAAGTATGTTTGAGAGTGTGACAGCGTGTAACCTGTACAAGTATGTTTGAGTGTGTGACAGGGTGTAACCTGTACGAGTATGTTTGAGTGTGTGACAGCGTGTAACCTGTATGAGTATATTTGAGAGTGTGACAGCGTGTAACCTATATAAGGATGTTTGAGTGTGTGACAGCGTGTAACCTGTATGAGTGTGTTTGAGTGTGTGACAGCCTGTAACCTGTATGAGTGTGTTTGAGTGTGTGACAGCCTGTAACCTGTATGAGTGTGTTTGAGTGTGTGACAGCGTGTAACCCGTATGAGTATGTTTGAGAGTGTGACAGCGTGTAACCTGTATGAGTATGTTTGTGAGTGTGACAGCGTGTAACCTGTATGAGTATATTTGAGAGTGTGACAGCGTGTAACCTATATAAGTATGTTTGAGTGTGTGACAGCGTGTAACCTGTACGAGTATATTTGAGTGTGTGACAGCGTGTAACCTGTACGAGTATGTTTGAGAGTGAGACAGCGTGTAACCTGTATGAGTATGTTTGAGTGTGGGCCAGGGTGTAACCTGTATGAGTATGTTTGTGAGGGTGACAGCGTGTAACCTGTATGAGTATATTTGAGAGGGTGACAGCGTGAAACCTATATAAGTATGTTTGTGTGTGTGACAGCGTGTAACCTGTACGAGCATGTTTGAGCGTGTGACAGCGTGTAACCTGTATGAGTATATTTGAGAGTGTGACAGCGTGTAACTTATATAAGTATGTTTGAGTGTGTGACAGCATGTAACCTGTATGAGTGTGTTTGGGTGTGTGACAGCGTGTAACCTGTATGAGTATATTTGAGAGGGTGACAGCGTGTAACCTATATAAGTATGTCTGAGTGTGTGACAGCGTGTAACCTGTATGAGTATGTTTGAGAGTGTGAGAGCATGTAACCTGTATAAGTATGTTTGAGAGTGAGACAGCGTGTAACCTGTATGAGTATGTTTGAGTGTGTGACAGCGTGTAACCTGGGATCATTATACTAAGATAAAGAAGGGAAACTGCTTCTTCTGTTGAATAAATGTCACATATCTTAATGTGAAAACCATGTCATTTAGAGCCGCAAATCTTAAGTGGTCCATTACTTCATTTCATTTCTTATTTCTTATTTACAATATCTTATTCTTCGTCGAATTTCTTCATTATTCAAGTGACTGTGATTGATAGGAAGATATTTCAATGAGACATGAAACTTTCTGAAGAGATCAAATATTGAATTTCAATGAAAAGAAAAACTTACCTGGCCTCGTTTGAGTCCAAAGTATCGGGATACAGGGTCTCCTTGCTGTATTCTAGGTAACTGGGACTCCTTCAATTTACTTGACTCAGGTAAAGGAAGAAATTTACAAAGTTGGAAACATTGGTGTGAATCACCCACCTTTTACCGATACATCTGACAAGTGAGAAGTAATATCAAGCGAAATCTACCGTACTAAAATTCACCAACATTGTTTTGTTTTGTCAACAAGGATTTTGAGACAGGAACAATATTCGATTTAAAAATGCACCGTCAAATTCATCAAAGGAAATGTTTAAAGAATGTTTGAATTTTACTGTTAAATATTATTTAATATTACAGTACTGTGAAAATGTTGCACATTAGTGCTTTATTACAAAAGTACATCTCCTGACATGGCAGCTGCTGTATCATGGTACACTTAAACATTAAGGATACTATCTGCTCAACAGTTCTGTTTTTTCATCAGGTATCATCACCACATGTTCAGGTACCAGCTGTGTATAAAAATACATTAAAATGTGAAAGGGGAAATAACTCCATCACACTACAGAGTCACTGCATGCAACAAAATGGATATACTGTTACATGTATAGGAAACACTAATAATAACTACAATAATTACACTTTGACATATTAAGCATAGACAAATTTTTGTATGGGCCTTTCATTCATAAGCATTATAAATATACAATTGATGTTCAATGTACATGTATATTGTACCATATTTATCCTGCAATTACCCCCAAGGGGCCAGCACATAAACTAAGATCATTGGTTAGGATTTCTACTGAATTGCAAATGACATGGGTGGGCTTATCACCAGGCACAGGCTTATTGCCAAACAAATACAGTAATTTAATAAACCCCCATCAGGAACAATTTCCAAAGACATCTACGTAAGGTAAGAACTCCACCTATCCTTTATCTCAATATATTACCTTCTGCATATCAGATTTACAAGCTTGCATATTTACTTTATCCATCAATTAGATTAGTGAACCTATTACATTGTGTCTGCAACGATACTTGTTGGCTGTATCAGCATGGTATGCTAACCATGCTTTTGGACAAATTTCTATTAACAAATATTCAAGAATAGACCATAGGTGTATTGACAGCCGAGGCTAATACCTGTGTACAGACTTGACAATAACTATAAGTACCTGTGTACAGACTCGACAATAACTATAAGTACCTATGTACAGACTTGACAATAACTATAAGCCTGTGTACAGACTTGACAATAACTATAAACCTATGTACAGACTTGACAATAACTATAAGTACCTATGTACAGACTTGACAATAACTAAAAGCCTGTGTACAGACTTGACAATAACTATAAGTACCTATGTACAGACTTGACAATAACTATAAGAACCCGTGTATAGACTCGACAATAACTATAAGTTCCTATGTACAGACTTGACAATAACTATAAGCCTATGTACAGACTTGACAATAACTATAATTTTCTATGTACAGACTTGACAATAACTATAAGTACCTATGTACAGACTTGACAATAACTGTAAGTACCTATGTACAGACTTGACAATAACTATAAGCCACAAGTCAACTAACACCTTTCAATCCTTCTGAGGATACGGTCATGTTCATCATCTTCCTGAACAGAAGCTGACAGTTTGCTGTCCCAAGTTAAATGTGAAACAATGGTAATCATTAATAAAATCTTCCCGTACCTTGAGGGAGTGACAAAGAAATCTCCAACCCAAGAAATGATGCTATTTGGTTGTCTAACCCGAGGCTCTGCTGAGGGTTAGAAAGCCGAAATAAATCACCCGAAGATTTCTCTGTTACATCCTCAAGGTAGGGGATGATTATTTTTCTCTCATCCTATAATTTCAGTCACAACTCCATCGACAATAGTCTGCCATGTTTGTAAACAAAAACACATGTGGGGTATGCATATCGTCATTCGCGTTTGATAAGGTCACAATTACCGATGACGCATTTTAATGGTGTCACAATTGAACACATACAAATTGGCACGAGGCTATCTCCCCCTAGGGGGTGACAAGGTGATCTTTCCCTCCTAAAATGGGAGACATACCTGTGAAGGGTGGGAGAAAAGAATGTCTACTATGGCCGCTATTGGTCACAATGAATGACTGTTGCAAGCACACAACCATCGTTCATAATGATCATGTGTACCAAGTATCAAGTTTCATTCAAAATAGCCAAGAATTGTAAAAAATAAATAAAAACTGATAACAAGAGCAAAAACTAAATTACAATGACAGTTTCAACCAGTTTCTTTTCAAATGATCAAGTATTGTAGAAGCAGTGGGTTGTAAAATAAATACTTCCGTACCATGTGCTCTGTGATGTTGATCAGAAGTTCCGACTCCAAAAACTGCTCCAGGATGTACTTTGGCGCCATGTCTGTCAGGGACTGTAACGACAAAAAATAAGGTAAGTTCACCTCACACACCTGTACACCAGACAGGTAAGCACATCATTACAACCCACACACCTGTACACCAGACAGGTAAGCACATCATTACAACCACAACAGTTTAGTTCATCTCTCACACCTCAGAATAAGAAAGAAATGCAGATCCACAACTCCTGATGTAGCATTCTGGGTGAGATCTGTGGACCAATTCAGTAGAGATCCTTACCAGTAAATTATGATAAAGAAGATTTAAGGAGATTTAACATCACAAGAATGGTTTCGCTATCTTAACTTATTTTAGCCTGCTATGCTGGCCATCTTCATGCACATATTCAAGCTCCAGATTGCTCAATTATCTTGTAACTCACTTAAATCATGTCGCAAAGTAAAAACGTTCGGTATATATAACATGCCGTCCAATTTTGTTGACGGTGTTTAGTCATACAGACACACAGTAAGACAGGATCTTACCTATTTGCCAACTGTGTTTAGTCATACAGACACAGAGGTACACTTGACCTTATCGATTTTGCTGACAGTGTTTAGGTATACAGACACACAGTAACAGGTGATCTTACCGATTTTGTTGTCAGTATTTAAGTATACATACACACAGTAACATGTGATCTTACCATTTTTAATGACGTGTTTAGTCATACAAACACACAGTATTATGTGATCTTACCGATTTTAATGACGTGTTTAGATATACAGACACACAGTATTATGTGATCTTACCGATTTTCATGATGTGTTTAGGTATACAGACAGTAACATGTGATCTTACCGATTTTAATGATGTGTTTAGGTATACAGACACACAGTTACAGGTGACCTTACCAATTTTAATGATGTGTTAAGGTATACAGACACACAGTAACAGGTGACCTTACCAATTTTAATGATGTGTTTAGGTATACAGACACACAGTAACAGCTGACCTTACCGATTTTAATGATGTGTTTAGGTATACAGACACAGTAACATGTGATCTTACCGATTTTAATGATGTGTTTAGGTATACAGACACACAGTAACAGGTGACCTTACCGATTTTGCTGACGGTGTTTAGGTATACAGACACAGTAACAGGTGACCTTACCGATTTTGCTGACAGTGTTTAGGTATACAGACACAGTAACAGGTGACCTTACCGATTTTGCTGACAGTGTTTAGGTATACAGACACACAGTAACAGGTGACCTTACCGATTTTGCTGACGGTGTTTAGGTATACAGACACAGTAACAGGTGACCTTACCGATTTTGCTGACAGTGTTTAGGTATACAGACACAGTAACAGGTGACCTTACCGATTTTGCTGACAGTGTTTAGGTATACAGACACACAGTAACAGGTGACCTTACCGATTTTGCTGACGGTGTTTAGGTATACAGACACAGTAACATGTGACCTTACCGATTTTGCTGACAGTGTTTAGGTATACAGACACACAGTAACAGGTGACCTTACCGATTTTGCTGACAGTGTTTAGGTATACAGACACACAGTAACAGGTGACCTTACCGATTTTGCTGACAGTGTTTAGGTATACAGACACACAGTAACAGGTGACCTTACCGATTTTGCTGACAGTGTTTAGGTATACAGACACACAGTAACAGGTGACCTTACCGATTTTGCTGACAGTGTTTAGGTATACAGACACACAGTAACAGGTGACCTTACCGATTTTGCTGACAGTGTTTAGGTATACAGACACACAGTAACAGGTGACCTTACCGATTTTGCTGACAGTGTTTAGGTATACAGACACACAGTAACAGGTGACCTTACCGATTTTGCTGACAGTGTTTAGGTATACAGACACACAGTAACAGGTGACCTTACCGATTTTGCTGACAGTGTTTAGGTATACAGACACACAGTAACAGGTGACCTTACCGATTTTGCTGACAGTGTTTAGGTATACAGACACACAGTAACAGGTGACCTTACCGATTTTGCTGACAGTGTTTAGGTATACAGACACACAGTAACAGGTGACCTTACCGATTTTGCTGACAGTGTTTAGGTATACAGACACACAGTAACAGGTGACCTTACCGATTTTGCTGACAGTGTTTAGGTATACAGACACACAGTAACAGGTGACCTTACCGATTTTGCTGACAGTGTTTAGGTATACAGACACACAGTAACAGGTGACCTTACCGATTTTGCTGACAGTGTTTAGGTATACAGACACACAGTAACAGGTGACCTTACCGATTTTGCTGACAGTGTTTAGGTATACAGACACACAGTAACAGGTGACCTTACCGATTTTGCTGACAGTGTTTAGGTATACAGACACACAGTAACAGGTGACCTTACCGATTTTGCTGACAGTGTTTAGGTATACAGACACACAGTAACAGGTGACCTTACCGATTTTGCTGACAGTGTTTAGGTATACAGACACACAGTAACAGGTGACCTTACCGATTTTGCTGACAGTGTTTAGGTATACAGACACACAGTAACAGGTGACCTTACCGATTTTGCTGACAGTGTTTAGGTATACAGACACACAGTAACAGGTGACCTTACCGATTTTGCTGACAGTGTTTAGGTATACAGACACACAGTAACAGGTGACCTTACCGATTTTGCTGACAGTGTTTAGGTATACAGACACACAGTAACAGGTGACCTTACCGATTTTGCTGACAGTGTTTAGGTATACAGACACACAGTAACAGGTGACCTTACCGATTTTGCTGACAGTGTTTAGGTATACAGACACACAGTAACAGGTGACCTTACCGATTTTGCTGACAGTGTTTAGGTATACAGACACACAGTAACAGGTGACCTTACCGATTTTGCTGACAGTGTTTAGGTATACAGACACACAGTAACAGGTGACCTTACCGATTTTGCTGACAGTGTTTAGGTATACAGACACACAGTAACAGGTGACCTTACCGATTTTGCTGACAGTGTTTAGGTATACAGACACACAGTAACAGGTGACCTTACCGATTTTGCTGACAGTGTTTAGGTATACAGACACACAGTAACAGGTGACCTTACCGATTTTGCTGACAGTGTTTAGGTATACAGACACACAGTAACAGGTGACCTTACCGATTTTGCTGACAGTGTTTAGGTATACAGACACACAGTAACAGGTGACCTTACCGATTTTGCTGACAGTGTTTAGGTATACAGACACACAGTAACAGGTGACCTTACCGATTTTGCTGACAGTGTTTAGGTATACAGACACACAGTAACAGGTGACCTTACCGATTTTGCTGACAGTGTTTAGGTATACAGACACACAGTAACAGGTGACCTTACCGATTTTGCTGACAGTGTTTAGGTATACAGACACACAGTAACAGGTGACCTTACCGATTTTGCTGACAGTGTTTAGGTATACAGACACACAGTAACAGGTGACCTTACCGATTTTGCTGACAGTGTTTAGGTATACAGACACACAGTAACAGGTGACCTTACCGATTTTGCTGACAGTGTTTAGGTATACAGACACACAGTAACAGGTGACCTTACCGATTTTGCTGACAGTGTTTAGGTATACAGACACACAGTAACAGGTGACCTTACCGATTTTGCTGACAGTGTTTAGGTATACCGACACACAGTAACAGGTGACCTTACCGATTTTAATGATGTGTTTAGGTATACAGACACACAGTAACAGGTGACCTTACCGATTTTCATGACGTGTTTAGGTATACAGACACACAGTAACAGGTGACCTTACCGTTTTTGCTGACGGTGTTTAGGTATACAGACACACAGTAACAGGTGACCTTACCGTTTTTGCTGACGGTGTTTAGGTATACAGACACACAGTAACAGGTGATCTTACTGATTTTGCTGACAGTGTTTAGGTATACAGACACACAGTAACAGGTAGTGTTTAGGTATACAGACACACAGTAACTGGTGATCTTACTGATTTTGCTGACAGTGTTTTGGTATACAGACACACAGTAACAGGTGATGTTACTGATTTTGCTGACAGTGTTTAGGTATACAGACAGACAGTAACAGGTGACCTTACCGATTTTGCTGACGGTGTCATGCCTGTCTGTACAATGATGATAGCTCGGGTGATATTCTCCTCCTGCATCCTGTGGCAGTATGTTTTTATTGTCTTGATGCCTACTTTTGGCTCCTCCGGGAAAAATACGAACATCTGATCTGTAATAAATCATTAGTTCAAATTTATCAATTTGCATCTACAAACACTACTGGAGCAATTGATTTTTTTCACCCAATTTCAAATTTGGACAGAAATATAGGCAAATTTTAAGGGGTGAATTTCTTAAGATTTGTTCCATTTCTATGTTTCCTGTATAAAAAGAATTATAGTTGATTAGCCTTGACAGATCGAAAAAAAATCTCCAACCTGACCTTGGACTAATCTAATTACAAATCAGACATTAGTTAATTCAAATAACCAAACCTTTATTAATAGTTGGTCTTGATAAATCAGAGCTCAATCTGATCTAACAAACCCTTACGTTACTCACCTAAGCGGGGTCTAATATATATACCGAAATTTATTAAATGTTCAGCCTGAATTTCTCATTTCAAATTCAAGAGCACTTTATGGATATTATCCCAAGGCAAAGAAGGCAATAACGTCTTAAATAACAGTTCACATAAAAATTTATTTCTGAAAATATGAAATTAGAATGAAGCATTATAGATAAATAGAAGTTCCAGGTATATTGGCACACATATTTTCTTGCTTTCAATATTCTCAATAATTCCAAACTCTATATAGCTAATACTGAATTGGGACAATGTTATATGCTAAGCCAGGAGGAGTTAAGTCCCTTGAATAGTGTGTACATTTGTCTCTGTATGAGTTCATTCCCTTTGCTCTAAGACAAACATAACATGGACACACTGATGACTTCCTCTATTCTCTACATAATTGTTCTTCCTCGTTACATTTTTAAACAGATAAATACATATCAAAAATTTCGGACTGAAATTTGTAACATTTAGGCTACCCCACTAAAACACAAACAAATTAAATATGTATACAGTATACTGAGCCAGATACCAGGTATGATTATACCATGCATGGCTCCAGGTACCTACGTCATACAATGCATGGCTCCACGTAAATACATTATACAATGCATGGCACCAGGTACCTACATTATACAATGCATGGCACCAGGTACCTACATTATACAATGCATGGCACCAGGTACCTACATTATACCATGCATGGCACCAGGTACCTACATTTTACCATGCATGGCACCAGGTACCTACATTATATTGTGCATGGCACTAGATACAAACAGTATACCATGCATGGCACCAGGTACAAACATTATACCATGCATGGCACCAGGTACAAACATTATACCATGCATGGCACTAGATACAAACATTATACCATGCATGGCTCCAAGTAAATACAATATACCATGCATTGTACCAGGTACAAACAGTATACCATGCATGGCACCAAGTAAATACAATATACCATGCATTGTACCAGGTACAAACAGTATACCATGCATGGCTCCAAGTAAAAACATTATACCATGCATGGCACCAGGTACAAACATTATACCATGCATGGCTCCAAGTAAATACAATATACCATGCATTGTACCAGGTACAAACAGTATACCATGCATGGCTCCAAGTAAATACATTATACCATGCATGGCACTAGATACAAACATTATACCATGCATGAAACCAAATACATTCATTATAGAAAGCATGGCACCAGATACAAACATTATACCATGCATGGCACCAGGTACATACGTTATACCATGCATGGCACCAGGTACATACGTTATACCATGCATGGCACCAGGTACATACATTATACCATGCATGGCACCAGGTACATACATTATACCATGCATGGCTCCATGTGTACACCATACAGTACCAATCTTGAAAATATATACAGGAACATGTACTGTATTTTCATCATTGACTCAAATCACAAGTGAAAATAGTTCATTTGACTTTAAGCAATTATCATTTCATCTTGAGCCCACTAGAAAAGTTAAAAACACTGTTATTATATTTCTGTTATGATAAGGTTCTGCTCAGCAAAATTTGGATGAAGCATACAGATTTCCAACACCTTTAGATTTGACTGTTTATGATTTATTAGCCTAAGATAGAAATGTTCTGTCTTACCTGTGGGGTCATCATTATGGGCCACCAACACAATCAGGTCAGCCCTGCTTGGTTTCCTCTCACTGCAAACAATCAGCACATTAACATACGATAACCATATATCATAGACAGAAGAGGTTCTGAAACTGTCAATATTATAAACTCAATCATTACCCAAAGCAGAATCAACCTCTGTTTTCTCATAATATTATGTTGTAGTGTTTAGTTCATATCTGCTCATGTGTAAACGCTCCTGAATATATTTATATGATCTAGAAAGCATTTATACCTTACTAGTATAAAAGTTCATAGGTCAAGAATCTTCATCGGTACATGTGAGAAATAAAACTATTTTTGTTGTTCAGATTATAAAATCGCGAAATCTTTACATAAATATTAAATAAACATTGACTTCACAAAAGCTTAGCTAACATAACATACACTTATATATTTTATAATACATATCAAACAAAGGCTTGGAAGCATGAAACTTTACAAACTGAACAGATATATCTAAATGAAGTACTAACACATGTTTAAGAGCAGTCTAAAGCCATACTCACTCTAAATTTACTTTAACTTATAGCAATATCAATTCTGTGGGTCATGTTCATATATCGATACAAAGTTTATGGGCCATACTTACGTTTCCTGAATGTATTTACACTGTTTGTCTTTGTTCACCAGTGGGTTAGTGAGTGATGGTACATGTACTATATCTACCTGGGTTTGTCTTTGTTCACTAGTGGGTTAGTGAGTGATTGTACATGTACTATATCTACCTTGGTTTGTCTTTGTTCACCAGTGGGTTAGTGAGTGATGGTACATGTACTATATCTACCTGGGTTTATCCCCGAATTGCTCTTTGAATTCATCCAATGTTTGGTCCAATTCATCCTGAGTCACTAGATATCCTCGGTCATGGCACAGCTAAAACAAAACAAAAAAGTTAACAATGTTTCTTTTATTGCCACATTATATTAAAATTTATCAGGGATATTACGACATAACTCAAAATGCATGAATTCCAACATGCTATGTACTATTTTCGGTAATATTGAGCATGGAACATAACGGAAAACTATGGAGCGGTGTAGGTCCCCAACCAAACCAAAAACATCAATGAGATCCTGGAAAGTGTCTGGAAGCAGGCTGCAAGATTTGCAACAAACAATTGCAACTTCACCTTCTTTAAAGAAGAAAATATTTTCACCTTCATGATGGACATGCTGAGCCACCTGGGATTGGAACCCCTAGTAATCAGACAGTAAGAGGTAGGGCAACACTTCTCTATAAGATAAGTTCATTAACAAGTATGAAAACTATCAGATCTCATTCCCTCCCATTACCTCGTCATTTTGTCCAGATGTCCATTCAGGAAGATACCACTGAGAATGCAGATAGCTAGACTTCCTATATTACGTCAAATGCACCAGCTTCAAAGTAAGAGTCTTGTTTTTTTTCAAATTTTGCAACTAGTCCTACAATTTTCAACCTAATGTTATTCAATGTTTGCATGTGTCAGGGGTATTATTGGAAGATTTGTACATATTGTATATTGTAAAACCTGGATTTTGTGTCAAATTTTGCAAGAGTCATTGTACTTCGCAACTGTGATTGTTTTCCCTTGGTAAAGCACTTTCTTGTGAAGTCATGATCAACTAGTCACATAATTTTCAACCAAATCTAATGTAATGATCTTCTGTATGTGTTACAAATATCATATGATGAAGATAATAAGCATATCATAAATCAAGATCATGGGTCCGTTTTTACAAGAGTTATAGTCCTTCGCAACTTAGATTTTCCCCTGGGAATAACTCTTTCTGGTGAGCATATTTTAAAATCAAAATCCTGCATCAATTTTAACAACAGTTATGGCTCTTTGCATTGCAACTCACTTTCCTCCCTTGGCATAACTCTTTTGAAAACTGTGAAATCTGTCACTGCAACTTACCAGGAAAAAGAAAAGCTGCAGAGTCAAATACTTGATATGGATCAGTCAACAACTGTCCTTTGGCCAGAGACGTACCTGGTATATATATACTACAAAGATAAGAAACTGCCTCTTTCTTTTGCCAAAGCGCACCTGTGTTAGGTGGTCTATTTGGATGACATCAATTTCATTGCTACCACCTACAATATCGTTAGGGGATTTCCGGAACACAAATTACTCGTCATTATAAATCATGTTAACATAATGAGAAAATGTGCAAGCAAAATTTTGATTTTTCCTAGAAGGCATATTTCAACATAGTTTGATTATTTATATTTTTCATATTGATTTCTTAATTTCAACGTCATGAAATAATTACAAAACTTATTAATTAATCTGAGAAAATGCCGTGATTTCAGAATGAGAAATCATTACCGGCAGCCATTATGTACATTATAAGGCAGAAAAAAGATGCAAAACTGTCGTTTAAACTGCTTTTCTCTCTCTAGACAGTCAATTTGAAATCTGTTTGGTGATTGATATTCTATAATATATTTTTTATTGTGCTTCTTTGATTTCAGCTTTGTGAAATAACTACAAAATTGCTAAATTCATCTGAGAGTGTATCATGATTTTAGAATGAGTATTCATCACTGGCAGCCATTACATTATAATACAGAAAAACAATAGGCAAGACTGTTGTTTAAGCTCCTGTTTTTCAAGAAGGTTGATTTCAAATCTGTTCAGCGATGTATATTCTATAAAAAAAATCATTTTTGTTCTTCTTTTAAATCGACTTCATTAAATATTTTGAATTGATCAATATATTATAACAAGAGGCCCAAGGGCCTTAGAGGTCACCTGAGTTATATCATAGGTACTGGTAGCTTTATTTTATTGTTTAGATGTGATGTGGAAATCAGCATGTAAATTAAGTGAAATACAATACTTGTCATGTCATCAAAGGATAAGAATTTTAAAATATTGGTAAATGTTCCCTTTGGGGCCCCGCCCTAGCCCCTGGGGATGGGGCAGGAATTCCAATTTTATAATGTAATACCCTCATCCATCAAAGATGATTCTGAACAAGTTTGAATAATATTCTGCTGAAAATGGATAAAATATACCCAAAAGTGTTATTTCCCTATATAAACCATAGTAAACTTTACCCCCTCCCATAGGGGGAACGGATGGCTCAGGGGTCCTGAAATTGACAATTTCAATAAAGCTCCTGATGATCTTTCTATCCATGCACTGAAATTGACTGTAATACCTCTGAGTCTGGAGAGGCAGATTTTTGAAATAATGGTAAATTTTCACTTTGGGGCCAGCCCTGACCCCTAGGGTTGGAATAGGAATACCAATTTTACATTTTAAAACCATCTTCCTCCAAGGATAATCTCACAAAGTAAGAATAATTTCCTACAGAAAATTGTAAAAATGTACACAAAAGTGTTATTGCCCTATATAACCTATAGTAAACTTTACCCCTTCCCACAGGGAGAAGGGATGGCCCGGGGGTCCTGAAATTTACAATTTAAATAAAGCCCCTGATGATCTTTCCGTCCATGCAGAGAAAATGACTGTGGTACCTCTGAGTCTGGAGAAGAAGTTTTTGAAATATTGGTTAATTTTCCCTTTGGGGCCCCACCAAAGCCCCTAGGGTTGGGGTAGGAATCCCAATTTTACATTTTAAAACCATCTTCCTCCAAGGATAATTCTCACCAAGTAAGAATAATTTCCTACAGACAATTGTCAAAATGTACCCAAAAGTGTTGTTTCCCTATATATACTATAGTAAACTTTCCCCCTCTCCAAAGGAGAACGGATAGTAATTTTCCCTTGGGGCCCCACCCTGGCCCCAGAGGTTGGGGTAGGAATACCAATTTTACATTTTAAACCATCTTCCTCAAAGGACAATTCTCACAAAGTAAGAATAATTTCCTACAGAAAATTGTAAAAATATACACAAAAGTGTTATTTCCCTATATAACCTATAGTAAACTTTACCCCCTCCCACAGGGAGAAGGGATGGCCCGGGGGTCCTGAAATTTACAATTCAAATAAAGCCCCTGATGATCTTTCCGTCCATGCAGAGAAAATGACTGGTACCTCTGAGTCTGGAGAAAAAGATTTTTGAAATATTGGTTAATTTTCCCTTTGGGGCCCCACCATGGCCCCTAGCGTTGGGGTAGGTATCCCAATTCTACATTTTAAAACCATCTTCCTCCAAGGATAATTCTCACCAAGTAAGAATAATTTCCTACAGACAATTGTCAAAATGTACCCAAAAGTGTTGTTTCCCTATATAAACTATAGTAAACTTTCCCCCTCTCCAAAGGAGAACAGATAGTAATTTTCCCATTGGGGCCCCACCCTGGCCCCAGGGGTTTGGGTAGGAATCCCAATTTTACAATTAAAAAGTTTACGCACGACGGACGGAAAGTGAACAGAATAGGTCACTTGAGCAAAAAGCTCAGGTGACCGAAAAATTGTTTTTAGAAAATATGATTTCATAATAAGGTAAACCTCCGGTCAGTGCAAAATCAAATAAATATTGTTTAACCTGTTCAAATTATATGAAATTGTAGCCGCCAAAATAAGCATGAGTTTGAATTATCAGAGCGAGTTCGAACAATTTGTTGAACAAAGTGCAAAGACTTTATATGTCTGCATCGCCACATTTAACCCCTGTGAAACATTACATTTAGAAAATAGACAAACCAACGCAGCCAAGTGTGAAATGTTAACACGCTTCTTAACTGTGACTTGCTATGCATAGTACGAACACGTATACAGAACTGTCGATACTGGGTAACAACGACCTGTCATCCCCATAATCCATAAATTCATATTTATCGTTAACTAACATGGCAATTGATTATTAAATATATTGAAGGTTCATTTTTACTCTGTATCACGTACCAAGCAGCAGCCATTATGTAGGCCCCAATACGGTACATGTTTATCTGTGTATTGGGGGACTGGTGCATTGCCTGAACAAGTGAGTAAATGCGGATTGTGATTTGAGACTGCGGCTATGGATTGCATGAGTTTCGCTTATTGATTTAATTTACTTCTTTCATATGGGAGAACTCTCAGGTAGTGATGTTATATACTTGAATGAAAGACGAGTGATTTTGTGAGACTGGCATTTTGAATGCCGATAGTCAAACTTGCACTTTAAATTCTCAAACTTCGTATGATGTGTTCAAACTATCTGAAATGTTGGTAAGGCGGGTTGGAACTGTAACTAGAAACTAAGTAATTACAGAAACAGAAAATTATTGTTTTCATTGTTCAAAATGTGTGTTTTAATTATTCGCCTATTCAAACTGACTGAAGGTTTACCGTAAAGCCTTTTTATAATAGCATCGAAATGAGCATTTTATTCACTATTTAACACCTATTTGCTAGTTGTGTAATCAAAAGCCAAAACCTGGTGGGGGGGGAGGTCATCACAGGTGTGAAGGTTACTTACCTGTGAGGAGATCTTACACGAGCCGAACTAAGGAAGGAGGGTGCGGGTAGGGGTAAAGAGCCTTAGGGGATCGGTACTGGTAATTGTAATCGTACACCTCTGGCTAGTTAACATTCTAGGGAAAGTTTCACGACATACTGACACACCATGTCAAATTCATACCTGAACTTTCACAGGTAACAATTATATGTAAACACAATAATTAGTCGCCCTCATTATAAGCACTTATCACGATGTGCTCTCCAGGATTGCTTTATATACATCAGATATACATCATAGGGCGGTAGGGTGGTGCAGTGGATAGCGCATTTGCCTTTCACCAAGGCGGCTGGGGTTCAATTCCCCGATCAGACGTGAAAAGGTTGGGGTCACCTACCCGACCACGTGGGTTTTCTCCCACACTAAGACCCCAATGCGCTAACATCCGGGCCAACAAGAGTGATTAATATAAGTTGAAATAACTTCTTTCATAATTGTTGTTAAATAAATAACGTTTATATTTATACATCAGATACGTATTATACTACAGAGATAATCTGGCTTTATATGTCTCTGTATACATCTATTTCAGTATTCAGATGGACCTCTATTATAATTATCATATAATTAATTGTTGGGATCTGTACATAAAATTGTCTCCAATACTTTTTGCAATAATAACAAGAAAATGCAGCAAAGCTGCTGGACACCAAATCTAGGAAGGCACATTTTAAATGCTGGATTTGTGGTTGTTATCACATATTCGTTTCATACAAGTGAAATGAATAATTCATATTGAACGGGAACACGGAAAACCATGAAATTGTCTATTTCTTATACTTTTTCACGTCACGTCATGCCACGCTAATATTGCTACACCAGAAAAGCAGGGGATTGTGTATACGTAGCGTATTGTTTGACGCCAAGTTCTTATGACGTCACGCTTGACAGCAATACTGAGTGACATTCTGAATGGGTTTTTACTGCAATTTTGCCGTTTACTGATATTATCTGGTATGATTTCCAGACAAAAATGGTATTAATAGTGTAGTTATGTAAAAACAATAATGTATGCTGCATAGGTGGAACACACAACCACTCTTGAAACTGAAAATCTATGCAGAAAATAGAAAGTTCAAATGTGAAGATAAAATATTTCGCATATCTTCACTGCATTATGATATGTTTTTATTTATGGAGAATTCATGATATTTCACTATAAAACTGTAATAGTTACAGATACTGTAGGGTTTAATATCATATTTTTGAAGACAGTATGCAGCCTTAATTTCCCAGAAGGCTTTATCTCATAGGGAAGCACAAGTGGATAAAGTGTTTACAGATCAAACCCCGGCTGTGCCGCTTTGAAAAAAATAATCTATAACTCTGTATCGATCAAACACCTAGGAAGCTGACACCACCTATATACGCGTGACCACAGCCTAAGTCTCGCGACGGATCTTTACACAATAGGCTTATGGGGTCTCACTTAAAAGCGTCTTCAACCGACAACAAGCGTCTTCAAGTGACAACAGGCGTCGCCAGACAAAATCTTCAAAAATACTGAATAAAGTAAGCGACATCAGAAGATATGTTGTTTATATGACAATAATACACCTCTGTACCAAATTTCAATTTGATATTTGAAAAATTGACCGAGTTATGATGAATTGAATTTTTACGATTGCGGCGTGGCACATGTGTGTATTAGCTTGAAAAGTGTAGAAAGCGTCGCCAGATAATATCGTTACAATTACCCGCTAAAGTAAGCGACATCAGAAGATATGTTATTAGTTAGGCTTTTATTGATATATATTCCAAATTTCGGCTCGATATTTGAAGAAATGATCGAGTTATGATTAATTTATTATTACGATCGGCGGCGTGGCATACGTGTGTAAATAGAACACTAGAAATTTGAATAAATGACTGAGTAAGGATGTTTTTGATTACTACGATCGAAGGCTTCACCATCTTACAAAACATATCTCACTCTACATAGTGATGTATTCAAGAAGTTTATGACCACCGATGTCTCCAGAGTTTTCCTGCAGGTTGCAGGAAATGACACCACTGCAATACAGGCAGCACCCCAAGGTCCACTTCTGGTCATTGCGGGGGCTGAGGCGCCTCAAAAGGTCAGACTTTGTTCTTGGCGGTTCTCCAGACAGGTTCGACTAGCGTTGTTCTGTCAAAGACTGCGATAGTCGCCTGCTTAAACGGCCCTTTTCAGGGCCACCATCTTTCTCAAAAAGTCCTGAGAAACTCGAAAATTACGCATTCCCATCCCCCTCCCACTATATTAGTTATAATAAAAATATAATTAAACACATTGTTAAATGTATTCTTAATCGGTTACAGTTAAAATCTAAATTGTTCAATAAATGCAATAATGTTATTCTTGACACAGCTGATTAAAGTTGTATCAATGTTTATAGAGCAATATATTCTAACTGTGTTCACCTATGCCAGAGACGTATAACACATACACAACGTCTCTGTCTATGCGAAGCCCTATACCCTACGTACACATATGTGGCACAGCGTATAGCTTAATATCTGTGCATCGCATGAATTAAATTCACGATAACTCAATCATTTTTCAACAAATCAAATAAAAATTTGGTATATAGTTGTATCATAGTCATATGAATAACATATCTCATGATGTCGCTTACTTTATCAATTATTTTAAGAGATATAGTTTGAAGACGCTTCTTCATATGTCGAGTTCTATTCACACACGTATGCCACGCCGCCGATCGTAATAATAAATTATTCATAAATCGATAATTTTTTCAAATATTGAGCTGAAATTTGGAATATATATCAATAAAAGCCTAACTAATAACATATCTTCTGATGTCGCTTACTTTAGCGGGTAATTGTAACAATATTATCTGGCGACGCTTTCTTCACTTTACATGCTAATACATACATGTGCCACGCCGCGATCGTAAAAATTCAATTCATCATAACTCGGTCATTTTTTCAAATATCAAATTGAAATTTGGTACAGAGGTGTATTATAGTCATATTAACAACATTTCTTCTGATGTCGCTTACTTTATTCAGTATTTTTAAAGATTTTGTCTGGCGACGCTTGTTGTCACTTGAAGACGCTTGTTGTCGGTTGAAGACGCTTTTAAGTGAGACCGGGCTCATGCGGTTTGCGAGATCTGCACAAGTTGCCAATCTCTGGCTTTATATGTTTGCTTCGGCAATGAACAAGCCATTAACAGAAAGTCTTTTTTACTATTAATGATTCAGCAAACTTGTTCAACTGCACTTTTATATTTTTGTATTTTCTGACTTCCAATGACATGCATTTTCCTTACCAAATAACATTCATTCAACCAATTTGTTGCAAGCACAGAGGTTCCTTACAAATGTCTGAAATACACATATGAGTCACAGCACAAATAAACATACAGTGTACTGTGACCCATGTCAGTATATAGCATATATGTATTTCAGACGTTTATAAAGAACCCCTATGTTGCAACTGTGTAATTGTTTACTTGCAGTGCTCTTGTTTGAGAATACGAACAAAATAAAGTCCCTAAACTACGTCGGTTCCCTTACAAAAGTTGTCCCGCTAGCTGTCGATGGATGTTTCATTTGGGAGTTTGTTAAGGGGGAAATACCTGCATAATTGTTTTTCTGATCCTCCATAGCTTGTACGTTTCCTGTTCATCATCCATTTGTATTTCCGTTTATAACAAATCCTTTAGATAAAATATATCGTTAATTATTGCACAACGAACGTGTATTTATGAATTCAGCGTGTTTTCAGCCGGAAGTTGTTTCCTGAATGTCAAGTCATCAAAGTGTTTAACAATTCTCATCGGTCATTAAGCGTCTTTCAGACATAAAGTTAAAATATAGTTTCGTAAATAGTTTAATTTTTATATTACCACAGTACATCTTAGGAAAATAATCTTAGTTTGTTGTAGATAAAACGTCGACATAACATATTATTTCAGTCATTTGGATTTATCTGATTTTAGAACATTACTTAAAATTTAAAATTACGAAAATACCTCATGTCACGCCTGAACCCACCACAGCACAGGCCGTATGTTGTTTATAACGTTGAGTAGGACATTATTGACTCAAGTACGGGAGAGATCAAAGGTCTATCTGACGAGGCTCCCATACGCAACCATGGTAAGTTTCATTTAACCATTAGGCTAGTACAACTGTTTGAAAATGACATCTCTTTCAACTGTAGTACAGAGGTGAAACTGACCTCGACAGAAAGAAAAAAAACCCAGAAAATATGATATCAATATGTACTAGAACTGATGAAAGAAAATGTAGCCCTGGATCGTCTGTTGCAATGAGCATGCGGGTTGATTATATAACGCATAGAAAATCTGACCCGCGCTGTTGTTCATGCATGCTTCAGCCAGTAGACAGTTACTCGCCATAATATGAAATATAAACCAGGTCCAGTACACTCTGCCGTTTGAGCTATACAGTATACATTATGTAGCTGTAAAGACCTATAATAGCTCTATTTATTGACCTATCTGAAAAAGATAGGTCTTTTGAGCTATTTTCATGTGATTTCCTTTTTGAAGGAAAACGAAACAAAGTCGCTTTTAAAAGAAGATTTTATTATTAGGTTGATAACAAAAGACATTTTAAATATTCTTTTTAAATAATAATGATGTAAAAAAAATCGGAAATTTTTACAGTCAACATTACCTTAAACCTTATTGTTTTATGCGACTTTCCTTTGATTTAATGAAAATTGAAATCTGAGAAATTATCTAGTTCAAGCTATAATTTGTAGGTGAATATAGCTAGCTCTATATATGTATACGTAGGTCTTTATATAGCTCAATAGGCAGAGTGTACTGGACCTGTAAACTAACATGACATACCATGATGCAATAAACTATCTATTTCCGATGACCTTTGGTTTTTGTTTAGTAATAATGATCATCAGGAAACTATTATTTGTAACAGGAAATCCGACTGCTTAGTTATCTAGTACATAAAAAGGAAATTGCAAACCTGTTTGCAATGGAATGTGCATCACAAATATAACAAGGGAGACATAGATAACGTTTTATAGAAAACATTGTGGCTTAGACATGAGGAATCATTACCTCACTTAAAGAAATGTAGATCATCTGATGTATGGAATAATTTGCCTAAACACTTCATAAATGCTTAATCTACGGTTAAAAGGTTTGAAATTAGCTTAGATTTACTTTTGAAAACTGACAAAACACTTAAAAATTGAATACTTTAAATTCTGTCTTTATCATGAAATTTTACTTCAAAAGTTATTCACATATATTTTATATATACAGTTAAATATTTATATGGTCAAAAAAGCTTAAATCTGTCCATAATGTTTCCTATTAAAATTATACAGTGATACAATAATGATTATGCATATTTAAACCTGGTACGATCGGTCATGTATCACATATATATAGAGTATGTGTACCTGTTAATTTGGTCATGTTAAACACTTTCTTCAATCTTTTGTGTATTGCATGAATAATTGCCACACAGATAATTATACTACACATGTGACAGTGTACCAATAGGGTCTGTATGTTTTATATATAGTTGATAATAAAAAAAAAAAGTTTATAATATGATTTAAACAGTTAAGGTCATAGGAGTGTATTGCTATTAAACGGAACTAGGAAGTACATGCCTAGTTGAAAATCCAATATAGGGAGACAGTATCACAATTTCCGCATATTTTAATGTTTAATATTAAACTGATGAATATTGTATGTTTATTATTGACAGAACAGTATGTTCTTTCAATATAAAGTATTTCAAAGCAATCTAGGCATTAATTCAGTTGTTTTTTAATCCATGAGTCACATGTGTCCATTTTTCTGTACTTCAGGAAACCGGGTACCTATTTCACTACTGTGGAGTTTTTCAAGAACGATAACTCTTTCATGCAATTACTATGTTTATATGGTTTTATTATAAAATGTCAATTTTTATTCGCTTATAAATAATTCATTTTACACAATTTCAGCATTTATGAAATTGATATATATTAATGCAATACTAATCTATGTCAGTATCATGTTTATTGACATTATATTGCAAAAAATTGTGTTTCATTTTTTTTCATAATTCACTCCTTTTTACATAAATTTCCATTTAAAATCCTTAAAATTCTGACAACCAATACTTTTTAAGGCAGAAAATTTTCTTTATAACTACAAAATTAGAAGAAATTCTACTGAGAAATGGCGACACAATCCTATTACCTTAATATAATCCATGTACATGAAATATAGGCATTGAGTTGTGATTTCCTATTTTGTGATTGTTACATTGAAATTTGGAACCATAATGCATTAATTAAGTAACAGCTGGGGAAGAATTGGACTGCAGGCTATATGAAAGGTCATGATAATTTTCATTTTTTTAATATATTTTTTACATAATTTCATAATATGAAGAAACCTGGTTTAAAAACATATTTTTCCCACAACCTTTATAAGTTTCTTCACTTCTGACTGAATTCATAAACCTGATATAGTTGGTTAACGTTTTTGGTTACTTGCAAGTGGGTAACATACAAAGTGGAAGTTATTTCATTGGTCAATCTGTAATTAGATTTGTGACATTTTCAAATAACGATGCTTTATGACAACATTTTCCATTGTGATGTCATGATCATAATGTAGTTCTCTCAATCGGAAACAGGAATAATGTAATTTGTATTCTGAAGAGAAACATGGTTTTCTAGATATAATATCTGAATGTTGATGGAGAAAAAGGTCCCCAAACTCATTACGGTTGGTTATCTGTCTTATCATTTTATTTAATTTTCAAATTGTAGAAGAAAAGTAAGTCATCTTGTTTGCAATGTAGGTTTATATTTACTCATTATAAAATAACTTTAAATACTGAAAATGACAATAGGTTTTTTGATATACCCATCAATTTCCCCAAAAACATTGTAGTTTCCATAGATACAGATAATCTAAAAAAGAAAAAGAATGGTAAATAAGTAATACTGTAACAGAAGAAATAAATTAAGTATTTTTCATAATATCCCAGGAGAAAAAAACATGATTATATATATACAAAACACATAATTAGGATGTAGGAAAGTTTACGATTTGATAAAAGCTACTATTTTTACTGTTGTGTGTTTAGCCTTGGATATGTTGTAATGGACGTGTACATGTTGACTTGGTAAGTGGGTCACTGTGGGATCAAGTGCTTCCTGCCACATATATTTGTTATCGTTAGGTCATCTTTACTCATTAGTGGTGCATGCGTAGAGTACAATACATATATTCTTTAGCCACACAGAAGCTGTCATTAATCACTGTACAGACTTTCATTCTCCACATTTGTCTATGTACATTACTAAGGGACACGTGTACAAATGAAATTGCTTAAGTGAAGAAAATTCAGTCAGGCTTTCCAAAAGCTTGAAACTCAGGAAGATGGTATTATATTCAAATGTCTTTGCACACCCCAATTATTCACTGCAATTAATATTATTATTATAGTAAAACTTTACAAAACAAAGTGAATATATGAAATTGAATTGTAATATTTGAGTATAGTTCATTCAATAAATATTCTTATTTACTCTGTTAATTAAGATGAATTCAACCTTGGAACATATTACTGTAATTTTCTATTGAGGAAATAATTTGCATACATGTACATGTAGGTTCCAGTTCTATTTAATTTGATCCATGTTGAGTTAAGCATTTTTGTCGTATTTATATGTGTACATTAAACGTAGACTATTTGTTAAGTAGATTTATTCTTACGACAAGCAGTGTTTCACTCAAACCCTTATCTATTGATTGAAAAACATTTACTGGAAATTGATATACAGTGTATACATATGTCTCAAAATGTTGCTCCAAATTTTGACCAATATATTAACCCTTTCACCCCTAGGTAACTTTAATAATAACCAAGTCATTACATAGTGATCGTGATGGGACACTTGAGTAGCCGAGCATGATAGCCACGGTAACATAAGATGAACATTTCATCATATATTACTGTGGCTATCACGTGCACGCTCACTATCACTATCTGATAATATAAGGATACTAACATTTACTAAGCATACATCTGATGAGATATTTCAAATATATCCTGTTTGTAGGGTTTATGCTTTGTTAGTGTTGGTGTATTTAAAAATCCCCATCAGATGTATGCTTAGTAAATGTTGGTATCCTTATATTAAATGATCAGATACGGCTCAGGTTTAGTAAATGTTGGTATCCTTATATTAAATGATCAGATACGGCACAGGTTTAGTAAATGTTGGTATCCTTATCAGATAGGGATTATGCTTGGATGTTGGTTTGTTTGGGGTGTTACAGCCTTACAACGCCAAAGGCTTAGTCTAAAAGGTGGTTGTCTATAGGGAGACACTGTCAGAAAGAAAGAGTAGGTTGGATATAAAAAACAATAGAGGTGTTTCAATGGGGGCAGCACAACAACTTTCAATTCTTAAATGCCTCCACTAAGTAGATCTAGATGACACAACAAAAGACCCACCCTAACCCCACCCCTCATCCATCTGCCCACCCCACCACCCACCCCTCATCCATCTGCCCGCCCCGCTTCCATGAGTAACTCACACCTTTGACGCAGACAGCTTTAACTAATTTAGATACATTAATATATACTGTATATACTACTAACTGATGCACTGATTCACACTTCTGTGTCATTATATATAGTCACAGGACACTGGTAACCAAACAAATACATACTTTCAGTTGTTATTATAGTTATTACACGTACAGTATCAGATAGCTAGGGCTAGTGTTTGGTATCTGTTAGTAAAATTGTTATTTATTGGAAAAAAACTCAATAATTTTACTCTTGAATTTTTTGAGTAAAGGCAACTTTTTAAAAGATTAGAATTACCTGGTATAGTACTTCTAAAAGATGAGATGACATATATTCTAAACTGATTAGAAGTAAATAGAAGTAATAGCACTACATCAACTACATCAGAGGAATCCAAAGATGTGAGGTTTTCTAGCTAGCTACGTATGTAATTGGTGTTCACACTTTATAGATAGAACCCTTTTTAAAAGAATGATGATCAAGAATAGATTAACCAATAACACGTACATTCATGATCACTGAGTTATGATCACTGAGTTATGAATATTATATCTGGTTCTTAACTCGTGTAGTTAATTTGTTCTATTGAAATACTGTATATTCATGATTATTCAATAAACTGTTATGAACCTTGTGTATTAAATTGCATCTGTCATGTGGAAAGTTTAGATGTAAATATATGTTTTTATGTATAAAACTGTACAGACTATCCCAAGCCTGTTAACAGGAAGTTATGATGCATATGTCTGTTCATTACATGTTAAACATAGGTTAATGTACATGTGGTATTTACCTGTATTATGATGTTTTTTAAAATTAAATTTGTATGACTTTCTCATGATATTATTGATTAACACAACTTTATCGCCTGTTACATACAGGGTAATGGGGTATGTATATATGGAGTGTACTTGTCAGTAACTGTCTGCACTAAGTATAGTATATGACATTGCTATACTTGTAGTCTGATCTCTCGAATATTTCACACTCTTACCATTCATCTCTCTTCAAATTCTCATCATTTTCCTAGTCTTATTTCAATCTGGCTGCCCTGGTGTGAAGTTCTAAGGGTGTTTCAGAGTGAACTGACCCATTTACTGAACCTCCTATGTAGCGTATTCAGTGTTTCAAGTTTGTCCTGTACCTGTACATTGTCACATATCATGAAGTCACACACAAATCAAAAATATAATTTGTTTTATTGGGGGGGGGTCTATGGATTGGATTTTAAGGATCCATGACTAGCTTAGGCCTTGATAAATATTGTTGAAAAGAGTTTTTATCAAAAAGAAAAGAATAAAGATGAAATATAAAACTATAATCAACAACAGTGTTCTGCATGTAAAATTGAAGTGGGGCTAGACAATGATTCGAACCCTGGACTTAAGGTTAATTGTTATGTATCCCTTACCGGTAGTGTTCTTACCCAACTGTGCTACAGCTGAAATGAAATTAAGGGGAGATTACTGTATATATACAGTATTAATAAAAAAAAAAAACTGATTACAGTGGGACAGGGATCTTTAAGGAAATATTGTGTGCGTTGAAGTCTATATATTCTTTTATATATGGGGCAAAGAAGTAATTCCAACAGTGTGGACAAGTTTAGGTTGTCAAATTTTCGGAGCGATATAAATATAGCTATTATATAAAACCAATAGTCCCCTCGGCTAATGACAGCCGAAGGCAGCAATTAAGCTGAGAGCATCCCAGACAAGGAACGCTGATGTAGAGGACCTATTCTTGCCCAAGATGCACTATCATATAAAGTGAGTCAACGAGAGATATCAAAAACGTGGAACATGTGCATGTGGAAATCTGGCCCGGTAAATGTGAAAAATCTCCAATTTGCTATGGAATGTCTCATTAGTCACCTCTCAACACTGAGATGGATCTAACAGTCACAGCAGGGGGTCCACACTTAGTCGCCTCTTTTGGTTTGCAGGAATTTTGATACATTTTTTTTTACAAATTTCAAACATTTTTTATGATAAAATTTATGTACATTTTATTGTCTAAAAATGGAAATAAAGTGTCTTGAAATATCCTTCAATGAAAAGAAAATAACTGCTATTTTCCAAAGAATCAAATTCTGCTATGTCCCCCATCAAGATAAACCTAAGTTTTGCACTTGATGCTTTAATTTCTGCTTGATGTCCTAGTGTATCTGTTGTCAGTATCATGTGACTAGGTGTAGCGTCATGCTACCTTGTCCAGTCTAGGACATTTCAGTAAGATTGCACTTTAAAGTGGCCTACATATGAGTGCATTCAGAGGCCCAATCATCTACAAGTGACTTGGCCGTTTGTGAGGTTATAAAAACCCAAACAAATAGATCATAAACTGTTATAGAAATTTCAAGGCAACTTGACTTGGCAAAGATCATAATTAATGCATTATAGTGCTTCACATATGGTACATATCTGTGTGGTCTTTCATACCAAGGTGTGTATACAAAAAAAATCAAGCCTTTCTAGGAAGACAGAAGATTGGACTACCTTGTGTTCAAGCCCTAGATACAGTACATAAATGTACATTGTTATGTACCTGCTGGAGCCACATCAATTGATGTTGATTTTTGCCTTTTATGTAGATCTCTCAGTGCACCTGACTTTTGTCATACTAAGCATTTGTCTTTCAAATACATCCTGTATGTCTGAAAGTCATTGAATTAAACTTAATATATGTGGATACTACATCAATATATATGGATCAAATTTAAGTTACTGTGACCCATATTTTTCACTTGTCATGATCATGACTTTTTGCTCCTTTAATTTCCTTTGGTTAGACTTCACAATTATAGCTCTGTCAATGTTTCCATCAGCACAGGTACAATTATAGCTCTGTTAATGTTTCCATCAGCACCGGTACAATTATAGCTCTGTTAATGTTTCCATCAGCACAGGAGCAAAGGGTATGTGTGTTAACAAGCTAGCAATTGCAATATCATTGTCGTCTTTATAAAAACATACAGCTATATTATTATAGTAAATGCAAGTGTCGACAACACATAGTGACATTTAATTATATTACATGTAGTAAATAAAATGTGGTAGTCAAATATACCACGTACATTCTGTTCAGTATCATCTTTTTCACTGAGTAAAATTTAGTGTGTTGCACCTTATATACAAATCCTGATAGTCCACGTGTATATCCTGATGGTCCACGTGTATATCCTGATGGTCCACGTGTATATCCTGATGGTCCACGTGTATATCCTGATGGTCCACGTGTATATCCTGATGGTCCACGTGTATATCCTGATGGTCCACGTGTATATCCTGATGGTCCACGTGTATATCCTGATGGTCCACGTGTATATCCTGATGGTCCACGTGTATATCCTGATGGTCCACGTGTATATCCTGATGGTCCACGTGTATATCCTGATGGTCCACGTGTATATCCTGATGGTCCACGTGTATATCCTGATGGTCCACGTGTATATCCTGATGGTCCACGTGTATATCCTGATGGTCCACGTGTATATCCTGATGGTCCACGTGTATATCCTGATGGTCCACGTGTATATCCTGATGGTCCACGTGTATATCCTGATGGTCCACGTGTATATCCTGATGGTCCACGTGTATATCCTGATGGTCCACGTGTATATCCTGATGGTCCACGTGTATATCCTGATGGTCCACGTGTATATCCTGATGGTCCACGTGTATATCCTGATGGTCCACGTGTATATCCTGATGGTCCACGTGTATATCCTGATGATTCACGTGCATATATTACAGTGTGTATATAACTTTTAACAATTAATTTGAACTGATCAGTAGTATCACTAAAAGTATCTTTTTCACTGAATAAAATTTTGTGTGCAGCACCTTTTATACAAATCCTGATGGTCCAAATTTTATTCATGTGTATATATTATATAACTTTAAACAATTGCTTTTAGTATCACTAAAATTATCTTTTTCACTGAATAAAATTTAGTATGATGCACCTTTAATAATGGTTATTGATTATCATATCTTAGATCATGTATTTTAATAAGATATATATTCAAGAACTACCAGGTAATATTGAAATAGTTCTTTGTGCGTTTGTGTTGCTATCAAATATGCTCTTAAACTGTGATGTAAATATATTGCTTCTGTTTGTGAAAAGAAACTACATACATGTATTTGTATATGAAGGTGTACCTCATCTTCAGAGTATCAATTAGAAAGCAGTTAACGTTCCAACTCTGTATTTACCTCCTGTTGTTCAGTGCCGGAATGGACCCGTCGTGTTATGAGGACACATGTACTTGTTACTGTGTAGACAAATTCATCCTATTATACATGTATTTAGGCCATTTGCTAAGTATAGTATTTCATAAATTGCTTAGAAACTTTATTGTAGCATGTAATTGCCATTAGTACCTTAATTTCATATTGGATAAGGGAACTTAATTATGATGCACGTTACATTTTGTTACAAGAAGAAGAAAAAATAAGTCATTTTGCATTTAAAAGTAACAGACTTGAGGTACATTCACATTAAAATTATCAAATGTGTATAATTTGATGTTAATCATGAAATAAGTTATATTTGATATCAATATATGTACCGATAGTAGTTGATAAATAGTGTATAAATGTTTATATAAATATTATAATGACAAATGTAGCTGGTAAATATATATATATATATACAGGAAGAGCTGTCATACCTACACGTTTAACATGTACAAAATGTACCATGTTACAGGCCAGCAATAATTCTGATTCCTGGAAAACTGCATCCTCTATTTATGAGTTCACTTGTAAAGACATAGATGGCAATGAGGTATCTCTGGAAAAATACAGGTATGTAGTAATTTTCTTTTACTTGTTAATAACATTTTTGGTGTTCAATGGAAATAACTATTTCAGCATCTATATCTAAGTTTTATGTGATATAAAATTTCCTAATTTAATGTTAAATATTGATGTTATTTGGAATTCAATTTATTCATCAAAGTCATTCTTCATACACACACCAATGCAGGAAACCATCCTTAAAGATTTCTTGTAACATAAAGAAAATGTGGATAACTTTTTATGGAATGTTTAATTTGTGATTCAATTATTTTTCCTCAAGTTAATGTCCTTGAAACTTAAATATTTGCTCCAGATCTAGAAACCTTGAAACTTAAATATTTGCTCCGGATCTAGAACCCTTATAATTATGTACAACTTCTCCTTAACTGTTAAGTTGGATTTTTTTATTGTAACTTTGCACAGAGAAAGAACATCATATGTGTGCATGAAGGAAGGGACTTGTTATTGAGGTATCATACCCCCTGCAAACAAAGTTTGAATATGTAGATAAACAAAGCTGGGGGAGGAATCTTGGTTTCTCTAGTTTTGAAATTGGGCGTTGATTTCTCAAATAAAAATAGAAAAACTTGAAAACAGACTTACCGGGTAGGTTTTTTAGAAAAGATTTTGCTGTTGTTTGTTTATTTAACAGTTACACTTGAACCTTTAAAATATTATTTTGTAAATAGTGGTTTGAAAAAATAAAATGAAAATAACATGCAAAAGGAATATAGACCATATTGTCTTATTTGTCTTAATTTTGGTGTGTAGTCATGATCAGTTATTTATAGGGCTAACTTCTATCTGGAAAAGAGAAATCTCTCATATATGATGAGTGTAAAATTAAGTACATGTTGGTGTAAACAGTATTTTATTTCAATCGTGACCGTCATATATAACAAGTACACAGGTATATAGGAATAGGATCTGGCAACAAGATTTTAAATCTTATATAAAGGAATCTTCCTTGAAACGTAATTACATTAGTACTTCAACATACAGTTAATTGATACACACAAATTGTTTAAATTAACAGTTTGTGATAACTCTGACCATTTTATGCGATGAACCAAAACCAAATCATAGGTAGGTATGATAAAAGAAAGGAAACAGCTATGGGTACCTAGTTTACAGAAAACTTCATATTTCTTAATTACTTCAGAGTATTGGAGAATTCATCTTAATGTAAAAGTTATTCTCTGTTTAGAATGAATACATTGTAATATCATTATTTTATGAATGACAGAGGCCATGTTGTTCTCATCGTAAATGTGGCCAGTAAATGAGGTTTCACAGACAAGAACTACACTCAGCTACAAGAATTGCACGCACAGTATGCTGAGAGTAAGGGCTTGCGGATCCTTGGATTTCCCTGTAACCAGTTTGGTGGACAGGTCAGTTGGCTTACAATCTCTTGTTTATAGTTTATCATAGTTTAACTTTAGTCACAAATAAATGTAAGTATGTTGGCTAACAATCTCTTGTATTAGTCACACTTATGGCTAACAATCTCTCGATTAGTCACACTTTTGGCTTATGATCTCTTAGTTTAACCTATAGCTAGCCACACACAAGTAAGTCTGATATCTAACATTCTCTGTTATAGTTTAACTAGGAATTGTAAGTATTTTTGTTAACTTCCTCCTGTATAAGGTTTAATCATTGTCCATTCTCGATACTCAAGTATAATGCTCACTTTCACTCTCTGCACCCTTGGAATATGTCATAGTGGAATTGAAGGCGTACAGCTAGACATTTGATTGGTCTCAAGCAAACAAACCTGACCAATCGCTGGGTTGATACTGGTTCCTTTGAAGAATACAGTGGAGCAACACCCAACTTCAAATGCCAGTCAATTTTACGCGACTGCCAGATTCTTTCGATGTACATCAAAGGATCAGACAAGTGTTCTCGTCTCATTCACAAGCTGATGCACACGGAGCCTTCACTTAAGATGTGCCATATTCCAGGGGTGCAGAGAGCGAAAGTGAGCATAGCCCCTGTAGTATCGAGGATGATCATTGTCAAGAAGGAATGTAAATTTGAGATGTATATTGATAAGTTACAATCAACTGAACGATATCTGGAGAGTCGCCCTGTTATGTATTTTGAAGATAAACTTTTATTCTAGGAGCCAGGGACGAATGAAGAGATAAAAGCTTTTGCAACAGATAAATATAAAGTGGAGTTCGACATGTTTGCCAAGATTGATGTGAATAGCAGCAATGCTATTCCCCTGTACAACTACCTGAAAAAGAAGCAAAGTGGAACTTTTGGAAAGTAAGTGTTATTGTACACGGCAGGAGGAAGTTCCCTGGGGAGTAAGTGATGTTGATTGTACATGGAAGGGGGAACTCTAGGGGAGTAAGTGATCTTAATTGTACTCACCTAGGAAATATAAAAATAGCAGTGCTGTTGTAAAATGGTATTGTAAAATTTACCATCAATACATCAACATTATATTATTAGCTCACCTGGTCCAAAGGACCAAGGTGAGCTTATGCCATACTGTGGCGTCCGTCGTCCGTCCGTCAACAATTTCTTTAAACGACTTCTTCTTAACCACTGATTGGAATTCAACTAAATTTGACTGGAAGCATCCCTAGATGGTGGGGATTCAAAATTGTACAAATGGTGGGGCTGACCCCAAAGGGGGCTGAGGGGCAGGGCAAAAAGGGGTCAATTTGGCTATATTGCTACAAACGACTTCTTCTGTAGACCTATGCCATGGATATCAACAATATTTGACTGGAAGCATCCCTAGGTGGTGGGGATTCAAAATTATACAAATGGTGGGGCTGAGGGCGGGGCCAAAAAGGGGGCAACTTGGCTATATTGCTATAAACGACGTCTTCTGTAGAACTATGCCATGGATATTGATCATATTTGGTCGGCAGCATTCATGGGAGGCAGGGATTCAAAATTGTACAAATGATGGGGCTTACCCCACAGGGGGCTGAGGGGCGGGGCAAAAAGGGGGCAATTTGGCTATATTGCTACAAACGACTTCTTCTGTAGAACTATGCCGTGGATATCAACCATATTTGACTGGAAGCATCCCTAGGTGGTGGGGATTCAAAATTGTACAAATGGTGGGGCTGACCCCAAAGGGGGCTGAGGGGCAGGGCAAAAAGGGGTCAATTTGGCTATATTGCTTTAAGCGACTTCTTCTCTGGAACTAAGGAGAGGATATCAACCATATTTGACTGGAAGCATCCCTAGGTGGTGGGGATTCAAAATTATACAAATGGTGGGGCTGAGGGCGGGGCCAAAAAGGGGGCAACTTGGCTATATTGCTATAAACGACGTCTTCTGTAGAACTATGCCATGGATATCAATCATATTTGGTCGGAAGCATTTATGGGAGGCAGGGATTCAAAATTATACAAATGGTGGGGCTGACCCCCCGGGCTAAGGGGTGGGGCCAAAAAAAGTGTATTACTTGGAAATGGTTGAGATCCCCACCATATAACCATGGTATACAATTGCTGAGTATAAAGAGAAGAATGCACATTTGCTTCCAGGATGGCTATAGGGTCTGGCCCCACCCTTGGAGACATAGTCCCTAGGCCATAACTTTAAAACTGTTGAGATCCCCACCCCAAAACTATATATATAAATGCTGGGCATAAAAAGACGAATGCAGTCATGATATCAGAATAGACCCTGGGGTCTGACCGAACCCCTAGGGACCTAGTTTGTTAGTCACAGGTTGGAAACAGTTGAGAGCCCCATCCTATAACGGTATATACACAATTGCTGAGTATAAAAAGATGATTGCACATATGCTTCCAGGATGGCCTTGGGGACTGCCCCACCCTTGGAGACTTAACCCTGGGTCATAACTTTGAAATGGTTTAGATCCCCACCCCAAAACTATATATACAAATGCTGGGCAAAAAGAGACAAATGCAGTCACGATATTAGAATGGACCCCAGGGTCTGGCCACAACCCTAGGGACCTAGTTTCTGAGTCAAAGCTTGGAAACAGTTGAGATCCCCACCACATAACCATACATAAAATTTCTGGGCATGAAAAATCTAATACATGTACAGATATGCTACAAGGATTGGCCTTGGGTCTGGCATATTGCCTTGATCTCATTTGGAGAATATTTTGCCATGATTGCTTTGGTATCCAGGTGAGCGATACAGGCCCTCTGGGCCTCTTGTATAAATTTGTCATACTGTATAGTTCTATATACAATTAATCATTGTGGTTTGGATGATATCAGCTGTTTGACTCGAAGGCCTTTTCTAGGTGTTCATGATCATCTGTAGCTACTATGTCAAACATTTCACAGGTATAAAAGTATCACAAGCATTTCCAAATACATTCCATTCAACAATAACTTTTCTTTTCACTTAGGAAGTCATAGAAGAAGAATCAGTTGTATAATGTATACATATCACTAGCATATATATATATATATATATAGAAATAATATTGTGTTACATATTATGTGTTATGATGATATATACTCTGCCTCCATTATCTACAGCAGTAGTGAAAAACTGTCTTACTTTTGTTTCCTAGTTTTATCAAGTGGAACTTCTCTAAGTTCCTAGTCAACAAAGAAGGAATCCCTGTGAAGCGGTATGCCCCCAATGACGAACCAAATGTAAGTTATGTTTAACAAAAGGTATTGAGTGGCCTGACTAGAGAAATCTGTTCACCAAGTCGCATTTATAATACTCAAACGTTTTCCTGTCTATACATTAACTAGGAGTTTTAGAATATTTTAAAGGAAATTGCAGAACACAGTTGTTTAAAATTGTGCTTTTGGATATTTTTTAACAAGGGTACTTTAATATGAACATACTCCTGTGTTAATTATTTTTGTGAAGTTCTAATTAACAATAAATAAGTCTTGCATTTAAAAATTCCATGTTATCTCTTCGAACACCAAATGCATACAGAGAAGATAATGCATTAGGTACAGCAGATATTATGGAATCGAAGGTCATAATGAGGACATGAGTTAGTGTTGAGATACCAGTTCTAATGTGACACTAGGAAATTATAAAGAAAAGAAAATATTGTATAGAGTTATGGGAAAATGTAACTGATGTTGTTCATGGCATGTTTTAAGCGTTTCTCTGTATTTTGAAGCTTGTTAACCACACAATTATTCTTTTAGAATCTATTAAGATTACTCTGATTTTAGGTCTATGTAGAGAGATATTGTGTTGAAGTACATGTATTTTAAGTTTTGACATTTTTTCTTTCTTTTTCTTTTTCAGAAAGTTGCAAAGGACTTTGAAAAGTATTGGTAGAAATGACACATGAATAAATTTATAAAAAACTTTAGTTTACGTTGATGGCCCTGTGTCTTTGAGGCTCCTACAAGAACACTTTTGGAAAAAAAAAAATGGTTGTGAGGTATTAAGTATGTATCTCTGTCAACACTTCAAAAAGAACTGGTGAAAAGCAATGAAATATAATGTTATTTTTAAATAGACAATTGTCTCATTGTTGTGATGTAAAATAAGGAACCTGAACTTCCTTAGTGAGACCCATTGTCACTGTACGAGATTCTCATGACCCTACTTTTTGACTGTTAAGGTCATCTCTATGGTAACTCAGACCGTATGACGACTTCTTCTGAAACTGTTTACAGCGGGAGAGGTCTGAGCTTATTAAGCGTGCACCCCTGTCTGGTTGTTGCCATGGACGTGTCCACCATATTGAAAGGTCAAGGTCATGAGATGACGTTGTGGTGAACCCTGTGTCACTATAAGGTCACCTGTTAAGCTTGCATTTTTATTTGAGTTTTATGCTTAGTTACTGTACATTTGGTGAATCATTTGTGATTGTCTTTTTGTGATACTGCCTAGTCTGATATATCGTGGCATATTCAATCAATTATCCGATGTTTACATTATTATTATATTTGATACACTGTTACTATATATGCTCTATATCCCCTTCTATAATTTTATTGTATCGCTTCCATAGTTTTGTAAAAGCAGATGTCGTGCATTCCATAGCTGTCCGCTTGTAAATCTTGCAGTTAGTCCCATCCTGTATTAATACAGGTGTTTCCACGAGACTTTTACTTCTATATATATTTACTTACAGCATATATATATATGTTTTATATAAGTCACATATCAAGGGAGCTGTTTATTTCAGTACCTGGTGAAAAAGTTGCCAAAAAAAGCTATCTGAACACATACCTCCTCATTTGATTTCCTGTGGTATGTTTAGTATTTCTCATTGAACAAAAAACTTGAAAGATGAATCGAGGAAACATTTCTACTTACAGTATTCTTTTTTGTCACCTTTCTCATGTTTTATTTTGTTAATGAAAGAGAAATAAACGGTACAAATCAAAACAACGACATTTGGAATTGGATCTCTTTCTACGTTTAGATTTTCACATAGTTTATCCAAAACATTAAAAGCACGTTGTGGTGTACTTAAATGAAAGAAACTCCTAATTTGTACTTTGCTATCTAGTGTTGCACTGAGGTCTTCTTTTAACATATCTATCATCAGTACGATTCCTTGCTTCAATTCATCGAGTCGGCTTGTTTGATCCCATGTTTAATAGGTGCTTTGATTGTTGTTATTAATATTGTTCACTTATATGTAAACACCCAGCAATAACAAAATGTTCTAAGTGTTAATTCTTTTATGAGTATTATTTCTTTTAGTGTTATCGAGTTACTAAACACACCATAATTTTAGCAGCATTCAAAACAGTGTTTTAGAATGAAAGTATGTTATGTGTATCTGAGGATTGACCTGCAATTTTATACACCGGACGAGTTTTGTATATCCTTATATAATGCATCTGACAAGTTTTGTATATCCTAATACACCTGACACGTTTTGTATGTCCTAATATAATGCATCTGACAAGTTTTGTATGTCATAATACTCATAAAAAATTTGGTTTGTCCTGTAAGTCCTAATAATCAATAAAATTCATTTTAATTTTTACAATTCACAAATGGAGAACAGCCAGTGGTCGACCACTTTGTGTTACTTTTAAACTGTGTCTGAAATCAAAACTTAAATAATTGTCACTCTTCATGGAACACTGCAGAAATCATAATAGTGTGAAACAAAATATGATTTTCATTATATAGTCATGGGTACATATTGAACACTTTTACAAGGTGATAATTGTGGATTTTTTTCTTAATTTTTTTTCTCTTAATTTCATGTTCAAGAAGGTTGTTTCGTTTCCCATACTGCCATGAGCATTGTACAAAAGTTTAATTAGTTTACTGATTAACATTACTGTGCTAAAAAGGATGATGGAGAATTCGTTTCATCAAATGAAGATGAAATAACTGAAGCTATTATCACCTGGTATATACGAGATCTGTAACAAAGTTTACTACGTTATACTTGTACCTCATTTGTGTTAAGGTTAAGCAAAGAATTATCACTGGTTGTGAGGACTTCAAACGAACACAAATGTTACTTATGTTGAGGTAAAAAGGCAAACAAAAAAGAGCTGTTATACATGTATCAGTAACATAAAACACTTGTGTTTATACATGTATCAGTAACATAAAACAGTGTTTATACATGTATCAGTAACATAAAACACTTGTGTTCATACATGTATCAGTAACATAAAACACTTGTGTTCATACATGTATCAGTAACATAAAACACTTGTGTTCATACATGTATCAGTAACATAAAACACTTGTGTTCATACATGTATCAGTAACATAAAACACTTGTGTTCATACATGTATCAGTAACATAAAACACTTGTGTTCATACATGTATCAGTAACATAAAACACTTGTGTTCATACATGTATCAGTAACATAAAACACTTGTGTTCATACATGTATCAGTAACATAAAACACTTGTGTTCATACATGTATCAGTAACATAAAACACTTGTGTTCATACATGTATCAGTAACATAAAACACTTGTGTTCATACATGTATCAGTAACATAAAACACTTGTGTTTCCAGATTTCTGATGCTTTTATTTTACACTTTGATAAGGATGGTTTATTTAGTTAAGAGTAAAAACTATTTGTACACCATAATAGTTCTGAGATAAAAACTATTTGTACACCATAATAGTTCTGAGATAAAAACTATTTGTACACCATAATAGTTCTGAGATAAAAACTATTTGTACACCATAATAGTTCTGAGATAAAAACTATTTGTACACCATAATAGTTCTGAGATAAAAACTATTTGTACACCATAATAGTTCTGAGATAAAAACTATTTGTACACCATAATAGTTCTGAGATAAAAACTATTTGTACACCATAATAGTTCTGAGATAAAAACTATTTGTACACCATAATAGTTCTGAGATAAAAACTATTTGTACACCATAATAGTTCTGAGATGCACATCAACATTTGAACAGTACACAGACCTAGGCTTTGCAGGGTAAGAAATAATCTATAAGACAACGATTATAAACCATATGTATATTATGTCGAAAGTTTTCTTGCCTAACAAACCCCTGTGGTAAAAGGTTGACAAATACTTATTCTATGTAGACCTACAGTATATGTAAATGGCTTTTACCAAAAGAAAGAAAATAATAATAAGATTTAAATGTAATATGATGTAATCATATCCAACTTGTACAGTAAGCCGGTTTGACTAGTATCAAGAAGTGAATTTTGCCTAGTTAACCAGTAATCAATTTGACTTTAACAAGTTTGGTAATTACATTGTACATCATGTACCTATATATAAGTTACCAATAAGTAATTTGAGTAGTGAACCAGCTATTTGAACTACACTGTAAGTATTAGCATTATGACGGTACAATATAACTTCAAGCTGTTTAACAACACAAGTTCTCAACCAAAAGGTTTAATGCCAGTATTAGTCTTCAGTTGTTAATTTTTAATTAATTTGTCATGTTTACTGATTAAAAACAGCCACTTTCATTTTCAGACAAGATTTATAAAAACACCTTAATATCAAGTCATTTCAAGAATTATTTTGGAAAATCAAAGAGGAGATGATTGTATCACGTATTTCAGTTTATACCAAAGCATGTACAGTGACCTTGAGAACTTGAAACAGTAGCTGAATGTTGTTATAATGATGGTATATATTGTAGAAACTTGCCACTAGATGTAGCACTAGATGGTTGATGAACAGATTAGTAAAGTCTTACATGTCCGTCCCTCTTACCTTCAGGGTGTTGACCTTTGACCTAGTCGCGGAGTGGCTGGAGTGAGAGTGGTGTTAGTCATGCTATATCGTTTCACTTGTTACTAGGTTTAGGAATAGAACTGATGTCAAATAAATAACTAAAATAATTCAATAGTTTTGTTATTTTTGTTGCGAGTATGCTGGATACTTAGAAACACTGACCTATGCATAGATTTAGTTGATGACAGCAGTTGGGTTAAAAACATGGTTTTTTTTTAACACAAAGGCCAGCCAAGAGGCCCAATGGGCTTGTATTACTTACCTGTTATTCATTTCACATATGTGACCTTCAAAGATTCTCTTTTAAATTTGCATCGTTCAGATGTGTTAAAACAACTTCTTTCGAATAACCAATAAACCTATGGTCATACTTATTGGACTGTAGCATGCTGGCTTTAACTTTTGTTCAAATGAATGACATTGACCCACTTTCAAGGCAACCGTGGTCAAATTAAAGGTGTTAAAACCTATAAAACAACTTCAGAATAACTTGCATGCCTAGTATCATGATTATACTTGACATATAGCATGCTGGAGTGAGGGGCTGTCGGAATTGTTCATCAAATGAAAAGTTATGATATTAAGCCTTAAGTTTGCTTGCTGTCATATTTGTTTAAAGAAATTTGACCAACTTTGAAGGTCAAAGATGTGAGATGTGTTTGCCAATAGCATTGATAACAGCAGAGTGATACAGATCCATGGGCCTTTTGTTTTGGGATACAATAGAAATCTAAGTAAAATGTCTCAAATATGTCCAGATTGTAAAATGTCTCAAATATGTCCAGATTTCAGTCTTATTGGAATATCTGCTGTGAATAACAAGAACAAATCAATTCAGCTACCAGACATAGCATAAATGGAATTTTGATTGGAAATTGTATATTTTACTCTGCCAACTGCTACACACTGTCTCCTGTATTGCTGATACACAAAATGCATATTACCTTAAATATTTTATTTTTACAAATCGGTACAAAAATATTCCAAAATATAATGGTAAGTATGTTCAAATATATCTCGTTAAAAGTAGGGTTTCTAAACTTTCTAAGTTAAAACATCTTGCCTTTTATATCTTTCATTCACTACATGCACTGTGCTTCTACAAAGTATCAAATGAAAACTTAAAAACAAGATCTGATTAAACTTAATTTAAATTGAAGTACTGGGTGTCTTTAGAAATATAAAAAAAAGCCATGACTCATTTGACTGATGCTATTTTATAGCTAACTTACAGACAATATGTGAGATATTTTTAATTAACATTACACTAAGTCATTTCAGATTCCCACACAAACGTGAATTTATGTGTAACTTATATCATTATGTAATGTATAGAATATCACTCATACATATAAGACAGGTACTTAAAGATATATACTACCTTATGCTAGTCAGCATCTAATTTACAAAAGAATTCTACACTAAAAAAAAATATGGAAATTGCTTTTATAAGGTATTAAGACATAGTTACAATTTACCAGGAATATTTGCTGCAGTTCCACTTTTGTCTGTTTTTGCCCTCAGCGATGAGGGTGAATAGCAAAAAAGTAGTACACAGAATACCATGTATAGTATAATCACATGTGAAGGTCGAAATTAACACTGGGTGAACATAGATTTCAACTGTCAAGGGTGAATATTTGACTTTGACTTGGCAAATGTTTCCCAGTGTACAGTAATTTATTGATGACACATTTAGAAACAAAATGCTAATTAAATGGGAGTTTTAAGGGAGGAAACTCTCTCACAAATTACAGGAATAGCATGTTTGGTAGCGTATCCCCTTAACATGACTTAAGGTAAAGTAAAAACCTGTGTTTCCAAGAAGGTACATCCTTTAAAAGAATAGGATTGGAAAACAGACAAAACAAATAGATGAAAACATTTGGAATCCCCTCCGTATCTAATTCATATGGTGTATGAAGCATTCTTGATTCCTTTGACAAGAGAATCAATTCTTGTGTTAACCTTTTCACCCCTATGTAACTTTTTATAAACTCTACCATACATTGATCTGGAAAAGTCCATTTTGGTCTACAGTGGTGAAAGGGTTAAGGAATACTAGCTCCCCTAGGGACTGTGAACAAAACAGTGTAATCTGAGAATTTAAGTAGTTGCAAGCCAACTCCTCCTCCGTTAATAGTTTGTCACATTTCAACCAAATTTACTTAAGGGGCCTCCCTGGAATCAGGAAATCAAATGATGTATAAAGAAGGGTGTTAGCCCCCTGGATGCTGAAAGTCAATTGAAAAGCAATTGCTGTATTTGAATGATAATATTTTGCCATGCTTACTTAAATATCCAGGTGAGAATTACAGTTTCTCTGGGCCTTTTGTTATTTTTCCCATCAAGTATTTCATCCATTCAATTTTCAGATCAACATTCCATATATTCTTAAACTATAGCCTATTTATTCTTAACATTTTTTTCTCCCTTCCCAGCAAAGGAGCAAAAGGAAGTACCTGACTGAATTTATCAAATATACAGTTGGGCAAGTGACTTTCCTTTTCAGAAAAAGATAATCATTATGCCAGTGGCATCATCAAACACATCCTAGATTTCCAGAGGTTACGATCTCCTACGCTCTCTACAGGAAACGTAACCCCTGGAAATCGAGGATGCATCAAACATGATAAAATGGACAGTTAACTTTATAACATGGATCCTCCTAATACTTGAACTACTGATGGTGTAAAATTATTGTTCAACTCTTGATAAAAATATTGACAATCTTCTTTTAAAATGATCTTAATTTTGCCATATAGGGTTACAAGGTATGAAAGTAATCGGTTCGAAGTCGTAGTTCAAAGAACATCTTTTTCAACCCTACAAGTGCATTGTCTACATTAAGTTCAACTTGTTGGTGAGCCATTTGTCGTTAGATATGGCATGTATGGTACCACGATATCAAATATGTTGTAGCATGTCTGATACCCTTCCTGCTGTTGTTGTTAGATATGGCATGTATGGTACCACGATATCAAATATGTTGTAGCATGTCTGATACCCTTCCTGTTGTTGTTGTTAGATATGGCATGTATGGTAACACGATATCAAATATGTTGTAGCATGGCTGGTACCCTTCCTGTTGTTGTCGTTAGATATGGCATGTGTGGTACCACGATATCAAATATGTTGTAGCATGGCTGGTACCCTTCCTGCTGTTGTCGTTAGATATGGCATGTGTGGTACCGCGATATCAAATATGTTGTAGCATGTCTGATACCCTTCCTGTTGTTGTTGTTAGATATGGCATGTATGGTACCACGATATCAAATATATTGTAGCATGGCTGGTACCCTTCCTGTTGTTGTTGTTAGATATGGCATGAATGGTACCATGATATCAAATATGTTGTAGCATGGCTGGTACCCTTCCTGCTGTTGTCGTTAGATATGGCATGTGTGGTACCGCGATATCAAATATGTTGTAGCATGGCTGGTACCCTTCCTGTTGTTGTCGTTTGATGTCTGTGTTCATGGCCATGGTGACAAATGTGTTGAGAGTATGTTACAAATCTTTATCCATTGTGATGAATAGCTACATAAACATAATAATATGTTGTGTGTTGAAAATAAATTCAAGCTTGCGTCGATTTATCTCCCTCTTCCTCCTTCGAGTCTGTAAGGCCTGCAGCTGATGCTTGACTTTTTGACCTGTTCTCTCTGAATGTGGCGATTTCCTGCCAGGTCCTAAAGCAGACGATACCCTTGTCCTGGATTTCCTTGCGGCCTTTCAAGGTTATGACATCACCAGCATTGTTTACAATGATTAACTTTGGCACAGCTGTGATGTTGAATCTTGTCTTCAGATCACTGAAAAAGTAACAGTTGTTTGCTTTATTTATAATATAAGGCCTGGAGATGATAATCGTATTTAAATTGTTATATGTTTTTATAAAAAATGCCTCCATTACAAAATGCAATTGCATTGCTACGAATGAAAATCATTCTTAAAATTGCCATACGATGTGGATGCACACATGTATAGTACATGTAATACCAAATTACTTTGCCACATGTAACTTCCTGCTTCACTTAAATTCCTATCAAATTATTCTATAATTCCCACTCGATTATCTCTCTTTAACTCATTAACCCCTGAAGACACATTTGAACTCTTCCAATTTAAAGGTTGGAATAGTCCATTATGAAATATCAGTGGTAAATGAGTTTAAGGTTTGACTGCATACTGTGAAAACTAGTCACTTAATTATTGGTCGTATGGAGCTATAATTTTGGTATAGAGATTTACTACAAACTTGCTCCTGGAGTTTGTCTTGAAAATAAATCCTATATTGGCCTTGTGAAGCTATAACTAAGGGTCTACAGTTTTATTGCAGACTTACTCCTGTAGTTAGTCTTGTCTTTTGTTTGTATTATTGAGCTATATCTGGGGTCAAGTGATTTACTGCAGACTTACTCCTGGAGTTAGTTTTGTCTTTTGTTTGTATTATTGAGCTATATCTGGGGTCAAGTGATTTACTGCAGACTTACTCCTGCAGTTAGCCTTGTCTTTTGTTTGTATTATTGAGCCATATCTGGGGTCAAGTGATTTACTGCAGACTTACTCCTGGAGTTAGCCTTGTCTTTTGTTTGTATTATTTAGCTATATCTGGGGTCAAGTGATTTACTGCAGACTTACTCCTGGAGTGAGCCTTGTCTTTTGTTTGTATTATTAAGCTATATCCGGGGTTAAGTGATTTACTGCAGACTTACTCCTGGAGTTGGTCTCCAAATGGAACAACCAGCCAGTCGCCGTGACTTTCTCTGTAGTATGATGCCATGTCCTCCTCCTTTTTGTCGCAGCTGACAAACACCACTTCAAATGGAGCACTGCGTCGTTGAGTTTCCTCGTAGAAGTCCTTCAGTAAGGGTGTAAACTGTCTACAAGGGGGACACCAGCCTGCTGAAAAATACAGTCCAACTAGTTTCTTTTCTATGGCCTTCAAAGCCTCCACCCGGCCATTGTTTACAGTTGTATTACTTTCACCATCTGTGTCTTTTGTTTCATTCTCTTTGTCTGTGATTTGTTCTGACAGTTCTTCCTTCACATGTTTTACATCTTCAGCGTCTTCACCTTTCTGTTCATTGGTGTCCTCTTTGATTTCTCGTTCTTCCTCTTTCATGAAAATTTTCTCTTCTGGGACAATGAAAAAGTTACTTGTTAGAAGTTCTTTGTCTACAAGGAGGTCTTCAAATGTTTTGATGACTTCTTCTTCATTTGTAATGTTGTTCCTTTTTCAAATTAAGATAAATATAATTAGTTTCAACTTTTGAGAATGCATGAGAACATTATATATGTGGTTAAGTCGTTCAATTGTTTTTAAAACAATTCTGATTAAAAGCCTGACACATTATAAGAAATGCCTAAATGATATATCTGAGAATGATTAATCAATGGATAGATAGGTGTTTATAAACAAAAGTAATAGAAAATATAAAATACAACTGCCTGTACCTCTGTCTGCAGACTGAAGATAGTGTCGATGTACCACTACTTACCTTTGATACCAAGTTTTGTGAAACTTCCATACTTGCCAGCTCTCCCTATATAGGAGGGAGACTCGATTTTGCACCCTTAGTTCAATAATTCCAATAGGTTGTTGAACTATTTCTATATTTCAAGGTATAATTATTTCATCTGAAGGAACAACTCAAAATATGCCATTTTAAAGTATTTTCCCACCCTAAGGGATTATTCCAGGGGTGCAGAGAGCGAAAGAGAACCTAACCCCCGGAGTATCGAGGGTGATTACATACCTACTTGAACAATATTGGTATTTATCTAGTTTTGACATTTTTATTGGATTTATGCCCCTTTTCTGATTTCATTTTATTCCATTCGTCCAAATTGTCCCCTTTTCAAATTAAGATAAATATAGTTAGTTCCAATATTTAAGAACTTTGCCTATTAGTTTTTCAATTACTTTTATGAAACTTATGATCAGTACCCTAGCTGTTTGATATATTTTTTATTTTCACTAGGAGTCGGTGATCGACATATCCCTCCTTTATACATCTTGTCCAAAGCACTGCTACTTATCTTCTTGGCCGATACTTGTGAAATACTCATTATCAGTACTTTAAGTGATTCTGCGATTGCAAGTTATTTCTATTTCAAATATTTCATGGGAGTATATATGTCCATTCTCTCATTTTCCTATCTGGGACCCCTGCAGGTCCGGAATCGTGAAAAGAAAACACCTGCTGTTACACACTGCATGTTTCATAAGAGACAACTAATGAGGGAACCTCCTACAGAATTGGGGATTTGCTTTTGTGCCCTCTACTTGGGGACACAAAAGCGACCAAAATAAATCTGCTGCACCCATTGCAATTAGTTGGATCTTTGTATTTCTGTCTACTTCTATCTACCTTTTATTTCTTATGTTGAACGTTCACTCTGGTGAGGAAGGCAGTGGGTTCTGTCCCCAGGCGGGGACATACCAAAGTCCTTAAAAATTGTAGATGTAAATCCCTACTTAGCATTCAGTATTAAGGGTTATGGCAACAACTGGTTCACCCGTTGTCAATATATCGTGACTGGGCAGAATGGTGTGCTTGCATGGGTGCCTGCAGCATGGTATTTCAGTGAGAATTACCACTTTAATATTGGCATCAGATCCGCGCTATTACAAGGAGGAACATAAACCAACATACCCTGTATCTGGCACACATTTACACATGCACGCATATTTAACACACATGGAGACACGTCCTTAAATGACCTTAACAGTTAAACAAAATAAAACTAAACCAATCCTATTTGGAATAAGATGGTATCAACTCTTGTCTTTTTGATATAGCTGACTGACAGCTTCGTCTAGTGCTAGTGGTCAAAGAAATGAATGTTAATATACATTACAAACAAATCAATCTGATCGGCCTACTCAAGTATTGTTAGTATGACACACATCTGCTCCTTTGTTATTCATCACACCGCATCAGGCAATATTACCCAAACTGTTTGTAGGTAAATACATGGTATGTGGTGCAAGTGACATATTTGCCTAGCCAAACCCCCACTCGATGTGGCAAGCACATTAAAATTATATCTTACATTCTTGTGATTTTGCTCAGCAGCGAGCTAGGATAGCTTTTCTTGTTTACCTCGAGACATTTATTTCCGGTTGGTAAATTAGAGTTATCTTTCTTGTCACTAATGTAAACAGTTAACTTCATGAAGATACGTTTCGAATAAAAAGTTTTAAAACGGAAAACCAATTTATGCATATTAGATGATAGAAAGCCATAATGAAAAAAAAAACAAATATACAAGCGTTATCTAACGTAAGGGTAGATATAAATTGAGATATGAATAATGTCAAACTTTCTTGAAATGAACATTTTATTTACAAATGCTCTCCATACTTTCCTAACTGACTGATATGATGAGGTGTTCCTTTTTGGTTACTATTCCAACTGAACCTGTCTCAGCTCAATATGGGGAAAATAACTGAATATGTTGTATAATATTTTGATATAACTAACTATCTCCTTTTCATTTTCCAGTTACTAAAAAATAGATATATCTTTTCAACACAATCAAAGTGAACCAAGATTCCAACATGTAAATTTCTTTGAAACACTAATACGTCGATTCAATTGCGGAAACCATATCTACGACTTTAACCTAATATTCTGTATTAGTATTTCTATGCTATATATTATATATTTGGCATAGAAATACTAATACAGAATATTAGGTAAAAGACTGAAAATTGTAAAAACTTTTCACATCCCAATTAATCTGCATAATAAACCAGCTTAAACTGTATAAATGCACAGAAATGTTTAGAATTTATAACATAACTTTTTATTTCGAGATAATCATATGTATACACTTATTTTTTACGGATTCGTTTGTCCTTTAAATCTACATTTAAACTGTTCAGATGTGACTGATATAAAAAGGAAAAATAATTATTGTCAATAGAAACACAATTTGAAATATAATATTTTTTACGACAAGATGGTCTTTTTAGACGGATGGCATTGTTAATTTGTGATATGAGCCGGTTCGGCAGGTACTAAATATAGCATATTGAAGCGTTTTCTACTGATGTAACAACTATCCTATTTGATGAGGTGTTGTAGACAGTGTCCATTTTAACTTTCCAGTTATGTGAAATTCTTCCAAAATGTTTCCATGAAAATTAACTCCCGTAAACAGACATGTAAATAGGAAGGTAACTCAATGATTAATTTCACAACGGTAAAAGTACATATTGTTTGCGTTTGTGACGTTACGTTTTTCCCGTAAAAAGTTAACTATGACGTCATATTGCTTGACGTTAGTTCCGCTTCTACGATCAGCTGTGCATTGTTTACATTTGACTTGATTCACGTGTTTATAGTGTCGATGTTTTGACCAAGAAACGGAAATCAAAATTACCTATGTTCAACATAGACAACCGAAACATTGGTGCTGAAAATGGCGAACGTCTGTACAGCATCCTAGGATTATTGTCTAGACGCCCAAATATCGCTTGGAAAGGTGTGAGTTTTTACTTAGAGAGATGTCCATCTTGTTGGACAGTGGAAACACTGAAAACAAACCTCGATTGTGTGCTACAGATGGACACAATAATCTCCAAATAAACCAGACAGTTATAGGGTAAGTACACACTGCGTTGTAGCTAGTGGTTGGTATACAGTAGTTCTAATCCATTTTCTCCTCTGAATATTGACCTGAAAAGTGGATAGGGAGTTAATGAAAGCATACGTTATAACAATAATAAACCTTAATAAATGGTGTTTAAGCCAATAATATACGTTTTTACCTTTTTGCATTATCTCCTCTCCGACAGATTTCTATCCGAGTTCGTCTCAGTAGGCCTACATCGTGTTCCCTACCCAGGTACTGGCGAAAGTGAAAACAAGGTATACATGAACTGCTTACATGTAATTTAATACATAAACAGAATCATCTTTTATGCAGTGATTTTATTATTCACGATATTCAGTGTGTGTAAATCAATATTTGTTATATATATTTGGTTGTGTTTAAGCACAGTAACATAGAGTAAGTATAAGTTTCCCAGCTGAATTAGGACAATTGCTGTAGTTTGGAGGTCCTTGGTTCGAAGCCCACCGTTTATCGTCCTGTTACAATGGTATTTGTTGTGTTTTAATATTGCAGTGTTATATTTGTTTTCTTTTAATAAGAATCAAAATATTTAAGCCAACCTATATTTACCCCCAAAAGAATCAAATTGACCACCAAAATTACCGATAGCTTCTGCACATGTCTACCTGCCATAATTCTTTCACTTTACGCTATTTTCCAATGACTTCCTAAAGCCTTGGCTAGACCGCTACTTTAACGTCCATGTACATAAATAGGAACAATACCAACAAGCCCAAAACATTATTATTGATAGTGAAAGGATTAATATTTCATATTAATTTTTCATCCATATTGCTTTCAAATTGAATTTCAATTCATTTTTCTTCTGGAGAAATCTTGTGGAAAAATGTATCAAAAAAGTGTTGAAATCGAAAATATAATTCAATATCTAGCGAGGAATAAGACAAGGTTCTTTTGTTTCTTGTTGACTTTCTGCAAAACTTGTTATAGTATTGTTTTCCTTTGTCCATATTTAAAATTGAGTTGCATGTATAAGGTTCAACGATACTGGAAGAATAAGAAAGGTCATTGATATCGTGATATATATGTAGCGGAACAACACAGAGGTCCACGTGAGTCGTTCGCTGGCGACAAGGAAGCTCAGTTGCCTAGTGCATTCGTCGAGAGTTTGGAGGGTCCCGGTTCAAATCCTGGTCTGGTCGTGCATTTCCCGCTTTTATTACAAAATCGGTGCCTGTGACCAACCTTTGTTGAAACTAATGTGCGACTACTTGCTAAGGGGATGCGCGAACCTTGGTTGTAATTAGTGTTGTCTGGAGGAAGGATTGTAGCGGAATTGGACTGGGTCATTTGCCGGCGACCAGGTAGCTCAATTGGTAGAGTGTTCATCTAGAGTTCGGAGGGTCCCGGCTTCAAATCCCGGTCTGAACATGCATTTTCCTCGCTCCAATTGTATTTATTATATCACAGAGTTCCTATTTGACGAAATACGAGGTTTTGTTATTGACCCAAGACCCATATTTCCCCACGTCCCCCTCCATGTCCCATAGCCTTTATTATTTGCTCACCAACTTATTTGATGCTATCACTGTTCGTAAAGACACAAAATACCTTTTGGACATAAACAAGTAAAATTATCTTGGTGATGACTTTCTCAATACAACATCAAGATGTCATCATTTTTCAAAGACAATCACGACGAACCGTCCAAGTTAATATGGATTATTTGCAGGTAAATTAAGAATTATTCGTATTTCAAACTATTTTCCAGTTGTTGATTGCTCAAAGAGATATATAGAATGATGTACTGGCCGACTTTGTCATCTGATTCAGGTAACCAGTGCGCACGACGAGGCCCTGAAGACTGTGGGGTACGGCCGACTGGAGAAACCATGCACCGTCTACTATAACAATCCTTTTGATCCAAGACTGTAAGCAGGATGCTTTTTGTATGAACGATATTCCTGAGCGGTATAAAATTATAATTCATATGTTGTGAAGTTTCCGTTTGTAAAAAAAAGGAAAAGAGGGAAGAATGAAGGAATGAAGGCAGGGAAAGAATTACATATTTTTATTATTTCGAATTTAAATGGTAGAGGGGTCGAGGCGAAGGTCTTTTTTCCAGGAAATATTCCTTATATCTAAAACTGGTACTTAACAGGAGTTTTTACCCATATTAGGGAAAGTGTGTGTGTTAGCGTCATTAAAACGTTTCTTTTTGAAATGAAATTAAAATCTCATGCCAATATTTCCGAATGAAAAAGTAAATAATAGACGATAATATTGTCTTTTTAGAACGTTTGATGGACTTGGCCATCTTTTAACTGCCACTGATACAGTAACAGGTTCCTTGTCAAAGGAGCAGCTAGCACAGAACGTTTTCCTTGCTTTGGAAAACTCTGATGTGGTGATGGATGATTTGTTCAGTCAAAACCGGAACTTGTACCAGGCTCTGTGCAGCTCCACCGACTTGGGACTCAGTGTCGACCCGAATAGGTACAAATTGTTTCCAGAAATAGACGGAAACGTTTCAGAGGATGGATCGGAAGACTGTAAGCGTATGTTTGAAAAAATATGCAGTCACCCGATCAAGGACCTTTGGACGCACACGCAGGAAGGAACAGAGAGGGTCACGTGCGATACAGATCGAAAGCCCGATTCGCCCGACCAAACAGCTAAAAAGACCCATACAGCAAACGAGCATTGTCAGTGTGAAGCAGAAAAAAATTCGCCCAAGACCCATAATCTCCCAGAAAAGAATCCGCCCAAAAACAAGATACGCTATTCCTACAAAAGACTTGAGGGCAAGAAAAAGTCAAGCGTAGAACCAGACCAGAATGCACTATATGACCTTATTGAACGCGATATAGAACAGGTCCTGTCTGAGGAGTCGGACGAGGAAGACCGAGGGAGAATATCAGATTCCAAGGTCACTCCTATACATTTGATGACAGGCGACACTATGACTGGAGCCAGACTTACAGCGGAACCAAAATGTCCGAGAGAGTAAGTGATTTCTTACAGGTCGTAAATTATGATCTCTCATTCTATGTAATAAACATATATGAAACAGCGGTCAGGACGTTTTCCGTTTATTATATTTTCAATTTTATGTTATAGTTTTAAGATTGGACACAGTGTGATTTTGTTTTATTCAATACAACAACTAAAATAATGACTTGAAAACGAATTGAAAACATTTGCAACAAAACGTCAAAATGTTATAGCTAAAGAATAAATGCACTTAGGCAAAACATATTACAGCGCAATTTGAATAATGTGATTCATTTCTTTTAAGAGTTACACAAACAGGAGAAGAGGCTACAAAGACAGAGCCTACATTGTCTGGTACCCGCAATGCCCAACACAAAGAACCACATTTCACCACGGCCGAGTTGAAGCACGGAGTGCGTCAAGTGCCTCTAGATCCTTGTCAAAATGACCCCGTCCAAACAACTACAACGAATGAAACTGGATCAGCTTATAAAGAGGCAAAGATCCAGGAATTCAAGGAGGAGATGGAAAAAATTACTTCAAGGAAGGATGTTCCAAAAACTCTCGTCGTTACGGGAGATCCACACATAACGACCCAAAATAACGCCCCATCGCATATGGAGTATTCCGAATTCTCTCTGGACTCGATAGTAGCGAAGTCTGTGCTGAGGCCGAGCGTGCCATCGTTTTACCCCGGTTTCAACAAGGGAGGCACAGCCGCCATTGAGAATGAGCACATGTTTGTCAGGAAGACGCAGACGACCGCACACAACCGCGGTACTCGTCCGCCGCCAGGGATCGGTCAGAATACATATGGAGATCAGAATGGTGCACACAACGCTCAGGTATGTATAGTTTATCCTGAATTTTGTCTAAAGATTATTACTTCTTATGGTAAATGTTACGGATGGTATTGATAATTATACGTAACTTTATGTCTGATTTTGCGGTAGAGCACTATTGACAGCATGAAGAAGTTTGACAACGATTCGAATGAGAAAGTAAACTGGAAAACGACATTGATAAAGTGGCATCACTAAGCAAGGAATAAAACGATTTTACATTGTCATAGCAACGGACAATCATCAATTGTTCTTTTCTAATTTTATAAAGAGAATAAACTAAATGTGGAGTTGAAGTTTCACCAAAGGACGTAATTTTGAGCATTTTTTTCACACGTATACGAGACAGTTACATTATTTAATCTAGATTACTTATATTATCACCAAAAATAGAGCAGTAAGATAGTTTTTTAAGTGAAACTATTTCAACATTTTTCGTCTGTGACTTTGGTGTAAATATTGATTTCCTATAACTGATGGTTTCTTGATTCAAGTCACACATTTTCTGTTGTAGGGACCTCCGAATTGGGCAAATACATCAGCTGCTCCACAGACACAGAATACGGGGCACGTGGCTACAGGGAACTTTCAAAATCATAACACAGCCGCAATGCGCGACGCTACACAGAAGATAGACTTCAGGTCAACATTGATCAACCCGCGACCATGTCATCAACCTGCAAATGTGAATAAGTTGCAACTGCAGCCAACTCATGCGGCGACTGCCGCGTTGTTGATGGCGAACTGCATACAACAGTCCTCCGGGAAAGATGCAGTGTGTAATCAGCCGCAGCAACCTCTACAAAACAAGCCTCATAACGAATTCCTGCCCCCCATCAGGCTTCAACAGTATCAGCAGCAATGCGGTCATCTCGGTATGCAGAATCCGTACCCAGGACATACAGCGAGGAATCCACCACCCGGCTTCAACGATACTACTTATGCTCCCATGCGGAATCGTGATCACCTAAAGGCGCCCTATCGATCGGAACCGGGCCACCCAAAACATCACTTGCCTTTACAACAGCATCTAGCCTTCAGGTTTTCGGCGGAGCAAAGCTTCCAACATCAGCAACAGCAACAAACCATCGGTGGTAGATTCCCACAGCCCGCAGTCCAGAACGTGCATCAACACCATCTCGTCCAGCAGCAGCTGCAGCAGCAGCAACAACAGCAGCACCACAATCATCAACAGCAGCAACAACAACAGCAGCATCAGCAGCAGCAGCAAAACCCACTTCAGTTACAACAACAGCAGCAACAGCAACAGCAACAGCAACAGCAACACCATCAACACCCACATCACCCGCATCCCCCACTCCATCCCCTCCAACCGCAACAGCACTTTCTTAATCCCGAGGTTCCTCCGTTCCAGTACTTCAACAAGATGCCACAACAAACGAATGTGAACATGCGTGCTAACTTGCACCTCAATATACAAGCGGAAAACACAAACCGTAATAACGCTAACGTTGATAGGTACGAGGAAAATGCGATACCGTTGATATCGTTCAACAGTTCCAGACTCGCTGAAGATCCGACTGTAAAAGATACGCCAGCAGAAGATCCTGGAATGAAAACTGATACTCCATCAAATGATAGTGTTCGGATCAAACGCATGTCTGTGAGTGCAGAGTGTATACCGAGCCTCGTGAACGGCGACTGTAATAGGGAGAGCTCCAAAGACAAACACAGGGTCTCCAAGTTCCGGTCACGGCGTTCAAATCTTGTGCGAATTTACCCTTCTTAAGACTGTTCATAAATATATAGGACATTCATATTACGTTAATATAAAATGTTTTCAATTATTTGCTCTCTGAGATGATGTTAATATACTTTAAATGCTTGTTTTGTTTCGTTGATATGCGGTATTTCTGTTACAAAGAAGTTAAAATTTAGTTTGCTAGTTACCTTATGTTTCTTATTTATTTGTCAGAATAAGTCAACAGATGATTCAAACAGGTATGAAGACAACGATATCGTACATTTACACTTAGCGGTATAATTCACACACAGATATAAGTCCAAACATTTAGATTGAGACAAGCGGTAACTCACACAGAGAGAAAAGTAAAAACACTCTAACAGATAGACCGAGTCAACTGCTAACCTACACAGAGAGAGAAAAAAGAACAAAGTACAAACATTTAGATTGTGCCAAACGATAACTCACGCAGAGAAAGAAAGGTTAAAAATGTCAAAACATTTAGAATGGACCGAGCGGTAACTCACACTGAGAAAGAAAGGTAAAAATGTCCAATTATTTAGATTTGGACAAGCGGTAACTCACGCAGAAAGAAAATGGTAAAAATGTCTAAACATTTAGACTGAGTCAATCTGCAGTTTACACGGAGAGTGTTACCAAAGTCAAAACATTTAGACGCCTAAATGATAGCGCAGGGGTCTTAACTTAGGAGCAAATCGAAGTACCCGGAGAAAACCCACATGGTCGGGCCGGTGACCCAATACATTTTCACGTTCGATCAGGGATTCGAACCCCGGACGTTTTTGTGCGCTATTATTTGAACATGCATGCAGTGTCTTTAAAATTAGTAAAAGATCAATTCCTTCAAATCTAGTGAACAGTCAAGCTCTAAAACAATATACAAATGGTTCTTGGTTATCTTGACCATTCCACTAAGTTTGACATCATAGGACATTTTTTCTATCAATCCCAAGAAAACAGAAATTAACTTAGCGTTGTTGATGATGAAGATCATGGATTTTGAATTTGAATAATGGAGTATCTAAATATGTACATGCTATACTAAAGCTTGCTATTCAGCGATACAAATAACAAAAACATTGGGGGTCTGTACTACTCGCTGTATTTTTGCCACGATTTGATAAAAAAAACACATTTTTTTCAAGCAAAACAGTATAAAGTTAGTCTAGAAACAATAGGAACATAAAAAGCTCAGAATAAATCACAGAGTAAAAATGTTATACGTGTGGTTATGAAATCATTTCTTTTGATAACCAATCAAAAACAAAATAAGTGCATTTTTCATCCGAGATACTGAATTATGTCGTATATATATATATATATTGGCCACATCCATTGTATATACCCGCCTAAAATCAGCGGCTCTCCTTAATCTTTACGTACAACGTGACCGACAAGGACAACTGTTAATTACTGCTATGCTGTATATATGATAAGCATGGCAATGTATCTATCATATCCTTCCTCATTCTTGATAGTAACACCCCTGTTCTCCCAATTTTACGGTGTATCCTTTTTACAGTCGATTCTGCATGTATTCAAGAGCTTGTTCTGATATCAACTGATGAGATTTCGTTATAGATTTCAACTGATCATTGCCACACCTACAACCAATTAAGGGTTTCGAGAAATCTGGATGCAGATTGATGAAGAAAATTATTAAGTTTGAAAGTCACCATCATCATCATCTCATGGGGAAATATTCTTTATCTTTGTGTGATATAATATAAGCATTAAAGCAAAACCCGCACACTAATCTCCTCGGAAATACGAACAGTAACACAAAACGAAAATAATTTGAACTATATATATAATTTATGAAGCCAAATTGTTACGGTTAATTTTTGGTTTGAAAACATAGCTGTAAATAGAAAGGACTTTCATGGGGAAAATATTTGACTCGAATTTGATCAACTTATAATCTGTCAGAAGATCAATTAATTGCTATAACAGCTTGAAAAGAGTACATATATATATATATATATCGATCCAGTCCAGTCGTAAAATAAACTTCAAGCGAGTCATATATCATTTTATCATTGAAAATAAACATCATATTTTGATTTGAGATTTAAGTGCATTTCTTACAGATACAGTGTATATGGCACCTCTTGTTATTCTCATTCTTAGGGCAAATGAATTCAGAAATAGTAAAACTGCAATGTACTGTACATTATTTAACGTGAAGTTAAACTTCTTCATAACTATAGTTGGATGTATACATTATTTATGTGATGGTTGATAAACATTTTATATTTTAAATGAGTATACGTGTTGGCCTTTTTCCAAACTCTGGAAAAAAAATTGTGTATCATATTTATGAGGGGAAAACCTCCTTAAAAATAATGTTGAACTCTTCAGTGTGGAGATCGTAAAAGCGATTGTTTACAAACGGCGGCATCAGCAGTCAAGCAGTAGTTATTTGCGGAGCAAAACATTTTGTATTATTCAATTATTTGAAGTGTCTGAAACACATAAACCAAAGGCACAAACTAATAACAATGGCGGACGCTAACGACGATGACAAACCATCCGTAACTGTCGCATCCAAAGTATCATTTGCAGAACTCTGTGGACTGCTTGAGAAAATATCCAAAACACAAGGAAATGACAAAAAGAAACGAATTTTAACAGAATTTGTTGATAAATGGAGAGATTTTCATAACTCACTACACAAAGACGATAAAAAAGACACGGTAAGGTTGATACTAAGTATAGACACGGACTTAGACAATTCCGTGGTATAGATGAGCAAATATATTCTATAGCCTAGACGTCAGCTGATCATAGTGTTACAGACAAAAATAATAAGAAAGATAAATAGAATGTCTAAAATACACATGCTAGCATAGTATGGTTAGATATGCTGTGACCCATATTAGTATGTGTAGTTCAGACATTTGTAATGAACCCCTGTGATACATAACCTGGGAACAATCAAGGTCTAGTGTGATCAGTTGCTGGATTAGCCTAAGTTTCCTCTGGCCCTAACACCAGACTTAGACATTTTGACCTACAGATGTCTGGTGTGGGTCCAGAGCACACTGCTATATGAAAACGTGGAATTCTCCAACACCGTGGCTTTAGGTATCGGAGAGTTATGAGGTGCTGTCAGACAACCAAAATTTACTATGACACAGCACATACCTCACATATATCGATAAATGGATTATTTATTGATTCAAATCAGTTCTTATTATCATTAACAGCTGCTAAATTCCGCCAGTCAGCGTCCTCGATTTTCAATCGTTCAAAATTTCTCGCCTGAGCGAATGCCATTTTTGTAGGTCATGGGGTGACTAATCAACAAACCGTACTGATCTGCATCGAAAACGGAATATACAATTCTTGTTTAGAAGATTTCAGGACCGCGTCTTTTTGTTGATTAGTCACTTCATGATACCAAACGGTGTCAGAGAATTCGGCGTTTTCATAGTAGCAGTGCGCTCTGTCCCCATACCAGACATCTATAACCACATACTTATTATAGATACCTAATCTAATTCCGTGCTATAACCAACTGAGATACCTTGTCAATGGCAATTACCTCAGTCAAGTTCCACTACAATAACATGTCATATAGCTAGCTTGATCATAAGATAAAAAAAAAAAAAGTCCACTAATTTGATTTAAAACTAACCATATAATCAAGGGCTTTTAAATTCTAGTTGGTCAGCCATTGGCCAGGTTTGCTATTTATATTGAGGGAGTTTACCAGGTAGGTTAGGGGGTAATGGAGTTAATGCCCCAAACAACAAAAATCACTCACTTGACTACATGGCATATAATCCATCTTACTGAGGATGCTTAAGCTTCAGAATATTGTTTCAGGGCTTTCTATGGAAACTTTTTGGGGCCAATAATGGGGCCCATTCCCAAAGGAAACAGTTTGTATTTATTCCTATTTTCCAAAGATTGCAGTTTACACCAGAAGATTTCCTTCCAAATTTGTAAATATATTTTCATCCCAAAATAAGTCAAACAGGCCCCATCCCAAATTAATGGGAAAGAACTCTGTGTGTATAGACTTCTAACATCAGCATTTGCGTCCTAGGTAACATTGGGTTACCAAGTTTGAAGCCCCAAGGCAAAATTGCAAAATAAACAGATGAAAGCAAAGTTAAAGAGTAACATCCTTCATGTTGTTTACCAACAGTGTCTGGGCTTTACTTTTACCTGAACATCCCATCTGCTACACCCATTGAAATATTTGGGATCTATATATTTTCTTTCTACTTCGTAACAAGCCTTTTGTTTAGCTACCATAGCGCAACTGATTGTCTAAATTGTCTCCCCCTACCTCCAAAAAACCCCTGTGTTATATCAAATATTACTGTATGGTACCTTATAACCAATGGGTACATTGGTCAGAAATCTTGACTGGCATTGGCAATGTTTTTGACTTTTTCTGAGTGTATGGTGAAAGGGCATTTCCCTTTAACTCAGAAGGGTATTAGATAGCTGGTGATCTTAAGACTAGTTTTGACTTCTAGCTCAGGGATTTAAAATGATTGGTCCATGGTTACTATTGTCAACTTTAGGTTTAATGATTATTTTCTTTCAGACTGATTCCTTTTATCCTGCCATGCGATTGTTACTTCCTCACCATGAGAAGGAGAGAGTGGCATACGGAATAAAAGAGGTATATTGTATTACGTCTGACGTTTTTATAAAGGAAAAGGCCTCATAAATTGTTGTCAAGTTGCATTTTAGAAAAAAAATATTATTTTGTTACAGAAATATTTATAACATGGAATCAACTGACTTGTAGAATGTGATTGTATCTATTTAATTTGAAGAAAAAAAGTAAAAGCTGACAATTCATTTTGTTTCGATTTTGATGATGATAAATTCATGCTTGCCAACTCTTTTGGAGGAAGACTGCCAATTTTGGACCCTTAAATTTAGTATTTTCAACCAGTGAATTTGCTAAACTATTCCTGTATTCTAAGATCTAATCATTTCACCTGAAAGAACAACTCAAAAGATGTCGTTTTAAAGGGTCATATTGTGTCTAGGTGGTATACACACATTTTGTGTCTAGGTGGTATACACACATTTTGTTTATGTTTTAATTTTGACTGTGCAGAATCTCCCCCATGGAATTTTCAAAAAGTTGGCGAGTATGTATATATCAATTTTTGAGTTGTACATTAGTAATTCCTCAGTCAAATTAGAGAAGTTTTAATGAAAGGCAGTTTCTTCATATGTGACTGTGCAGCAATTTTTAGCCGTAGTCTGATCGTTTAGGCTGCGAGTTAACATTTTGATTTGAAATATTGTGTTGTTGCTCGTAACTGAAATAAATGTTATTTTTGTTTCCTTGGATGCCTTAATAAAATCATGTCCAAATCCATGTTTTTATCTTTACAGCATATGTTGGCCAAACTACTGATCGAGGTGTTGTGTTTAGGGAAGGATAGTGCTGATGCCAACAGGCTGCTTAACTACAAAGCTCCGAAAACAGCCAGAGCGGTGAGTGTCTACTACAAAACAAAATGTGATGTGGAAAATATGTACAAAAGACTGGCTACAAGAGTCTAAAAACTCAAGTTAATCTGTTTCAGTCATTTCTGAAATACCACCTCTGCATCCTCTGTTTCCCTGTAGTGGCTGTGTTCTACTCAGATTCTTTATTAGCTGAGAGCCATACGACTCATAGGCGCAACAGTAATACAAGTACATATAGCATACAAGTATACCTAGAAGTAAGCAACAGTCCTGCTTACTCTTACTCATGAAGCAATTATATTTTTGAAAAAACATGTTCACTTTTCTTGTCTTCCTTCCTTTAAAACAATACATTCTATCTTGTCTTTATTTTCATAAAATTATATGCCTTATTTATCTTTGTTTCTATGAAACTACTTTTCTAGTCTTCCACTCATGAACTGATGATCAGTTCTGAATATGTGGCCTCCATTATCACAAGTGACAGGCCTTGACAAGTCATTAATCTGTCTTATACAGTATGAATAATGAACCATCATTACACTGGAGATACAAAATAAAACCCTGTGTTTCCCTCAGAATATGTTGAAAGAAGCAAGGTTATGTGATATCTTGATTGAAGAAGTATGTTGGTTACAATTACAGTAACATGGATAACATAAATCTTACTGTGCATATGGGGGATATAGGGAGAACAGTTTAGGTATCAGCATGGTAAAGACATAAGGGATCTTGGGTACCATGCTGTTAAAAGACCTGGTAGGACACTAAATTGAATATATATATAAAATAACAAATGATATGTTCAGAGAGTTTCCATTTCAACCATTGTACATTGTTTCTATGCAGGACGCTGGAGATTTTGCGGGTGTGACCTACTTTGTGTTGAAGAACCGCTGTCCAGAGAAGGGAACACTGACCATTCAGGAGGTCAATGACTGTCTGGACGGCATCGCTCAGAACAATGCGGCCAAGAAGAAGGATTTGGTGAGGAAGAATGTTCTGCGGCTGTTGACTAACATGACAGCAGTGGAGCTCAAGTGGCTCATCAGGATGATTGTGAAGGAACTGAAGGTGGGGCTGAGTCAGGCATCTGTCTTATCAGTGTATCATCCGGACGCTGAGGACTTCTTCAACGTCAACAATAACCTGGAAAAGGTACTCTTGTGACATGTGTTTATACATGTATTTAAAGTTAGTATACATGTATTTTGATATTAAGAAAAAATATATGTATTTCGTGACAAGAAAGACAAAATTATTTGCAAATTTTGAAGACATTTGTGAAATTAATTCAAATATTTTGATTAATGTAAAAGCAGACCCGGCACTGAAAAAATTGAACTTTGGTACCTATGTATAAGTTATACTACCATACAGTGTATATGTTCATTAGTGTTTGAACTCCACCAACGTACAGATATATTAATGTGTGAATGAACTCTGTCATAATTTTCATTTTATCAATTAAGTTTTGTTTATAGAATTTAATGTTCAGAAATCAAAATATTAAGTTTACATCTCTTCAATATTAAATAAATAAAATAAAATAAATATACAACATTTGATATAGCACCCTATCTAGCTAACATAAGCCACTCTAAAGTGCTTTACAGTACATAGATATACAATTTTATACAGTCAAATACAATTAGCATATATATTAATCAATACAATATTGAGGAATTCGCAGGAGCTGCCTTATCAGACACTAACTATTAGTCCTATGCCACCTGGCTAATATCTCCTTATGTGTGTATGCCTGTGTGTGTGCTGGAGATGTATTGTGTTCTGTTTGAAGTGGGACCGTGCTTCCAACGGTATCATTTATAGTGCCACCTCACTTGAATGCTACAGCACAGATACCGCAACACCCAACCCAGACAATTTTATACTCCACCTGGGTTGTTGGAGTTGTGTGGGCAGGAGAAAAACACTTTCTCTTAATATTCCATGCGTACAGCAACTTTGGGGATCGAACCCTGGCCGCCTGCTTGGAAGGCCGGAGTGTTAACCACTCGACCAATCCGCCCATATTGACTGAAAGTGAAAGCTAGAGTGGCTCAAACAGGGAAAAAGGCAGAGTCTAATGAGAAAAACAGGGAAAAAGGCAGAGTCTAATGAGAAAAACAGGGAAAAAGGCAGAGTGAAATGAGAAAAACAAGGAAAAAGGCAGAGTGAAATGAGAAAAACAGGGAAAAAGGCAGAGTCTAATGAGAAAAACAACCTGCCAGAGTGACATTTTTAGTCATGGCTATTATGAAACTTGTTTTGTATTGAAGGTGTGTCGGATGCTGAGGGAGCGGAGTGTTCGGGTACATGAGATCGGTATCAGCATCTTCTCACCCTTCTCGCCGATGCTGGGGGAGAGAGCCTCACCTGATGAGGTAACAAGTGTTTCCATTTTCAATCATCTTATCACTTGGTGACTTATTGATAACCAAGATAGGTCAGTTTAAAGTTTTTTTTTTATTTGTTTTTAAAAGATGATGGAGGTGATTTATCATTTTTTCATTATACATTTAATAAATTACAAATAAGTTTCTTTGTTCATTAGTCTTCATGATATTTAAAGAGGACCTAACTTTTTATTCTGAATTGTAAGTTTTACAATTTAAGACTTGTGAAGATATATAGCTGTGAAGGTTTGTCCAGATAATTAAGATTTGTTAATATTGATATTCAATACTTAAAGGAGTTAGTAAGGATTAGAACATCTTCTCATAAACTTAATATAGAACATGTACATATGTAGATACTGAGGTATTGAACACAGAAACAGGGTTTGTTCGTTATGTGCCTCTAATGATGTAGAAGACGAATTTCATTTGTTCTTAAAAGTCCATTTTATTCCGATCTACGGATATCATTTATTAAACCTTTTTATATCAGACATACAAGTATGTATAAATATATTAATTTGTTGTCCACAGTAAATAAAAAAGAAATAGCTAATTTGGCCAAATATGAAAGGATTGCTAGTAGAAGATGACAAAATGTACTGAATTGAGTCAATTATATCTAGTGCTTGTCAGTAGCATCACATATTATTCTATTATTAATTACATTATTTTAAGCAGTGCAAGATATCTCTCTACACTTCTAGGAGTAGGTGGGAAGTGGTGTGTATGTGTGTTGTTGTTAAATTGATTACTTTATGTTGCACTGTATATATACACAAATGATGAGCTGTAAAGCTTAAGAAAATAAATGAACTTGAGCTAGTTAAGGACAGGCTGTATATGGAGTACAACAGCCTAATCAGCGTGTGACCCGTCATGGTTTGGTATAATTACAGGTGGAGAAACTGATGGAGGGGAAAACCTACTTCCTAGAGACAAAGTTTGATGGAGAACGCATGCTGTTACATAAACGTGACAATGAATACAAGTACTTCTCTAGGAGGTAGGACATCTTTGGAGAAAAAGTTTGAATCAAACATGAATCTAATAGGTAGTATTCATCATTCATCGCTGATTAAGTGTTATTCATAACAGAACTCATCATGGCTGTGATCAGATATTCCTGATGTCCTGATAAACTAAAATGTTCCTTTTTGCTTTAAGTGTTTTCTCTGTTGAAGTAAAGGTACTGATTCACTATTAAAGGATTGCAATCTACAATGTTTTCTGTAGGTTGTTTGGATGTGATTATGTTAAGTTTTCTGTAGTTTGTTTGGATGTGACTATGTTAAGTTTTCTGTAGGTTGTTTGGATGTGACTATGTTAGGTTTTCTGTAGGTTGTTTGTGTGTGACTATGTTAAGTTTCCTGTAGGTTGTTTGGATGTGACTATG